GGATGGGCAGCCAGTGCAGTGCGGCCAGAGTGAGTGAGATATGTTGGAATTTTTTCACTCCACTAAGTAATCTGGCCACCGCGTTCTGCACCACCTGTAGTTTCCTCTCCCAGTCCTTTTAGTTTTGCATCACATTATTTCGCACTGGCTAAAGTTCAGGATGAACCCTTGCATTTGTGTCTCATGACTGTTGGCACAACAGGCTCAGGGAGGCCTGGAGGCCTTTCTCTAGGAGACTGAGCAGCAAACACTGGGATTGCTTAGATCAAATCTTGGCTCTGCCATAAAACTACTAGGTCAGGTTCTCACTTGGCCGCAGTTTCCCCTGTACAAAACATGGGATAATATGAGTGCATCTGACACATAAGCAAGAATGAGGAATCTAAACTCTGTGTGCCTGAGGTCCTGTGAACAGGTTCTCCATCTTGCCCTGAACGTCTGTAAGAAGCATCCCTTCCCTAAAGCATTGGCTTACAGAGCTTCATGTAGGGATCCAATGATGTCAGGGGATGTGGCAATGCCGCCAATGTCATCCAAGCCACAGAGGGCTGTAAATGTGGGAATCTACCTTCCTCCACCATTGAAAGATAGCTCCCCACCTGCATTTGTAAAGGCTTGAAGGACACATGAATGAAGTACAGTGGTGCCCTGCTTGACGACGATAATCCATTCCATTAAAATCGCTGTTAAGCGATATCGTCGTCAAGCGAAAGAAAAAACCCATTGAAATGCAATGAAAACTGATTCATTCCAATGGGCAAAATACCTTATCGTCCAGTGAAGACCCTCCATAGGGAAAGCCATTTTTGGTCGTTGTCTTCCGGAAATAGGTCCGGAAAACAGCAGGTGGCCATTTTGAAACCTGACGATCAGCTGTTTTTGATTGTCGCAATGTGAAGAATCGTTTTGCGATCGCAGAAAACTCATCGTGAAGCAGGGTAATCGTCAAGTGGGGCACCACTGTACCTGAAAGCTACCCAGACCACACTAAATAAGCGCACATAGAAAGACTTGAGAGCTTTACCTCTCCAGGCGGAATTCCGACACAGATTCTATCCACAGCAGGCTTTTGTTTCCTTTGGTATATCTGGAAAGAGAAACAGAAATGTGCTGATAGTTAACAGCTAAGTTAACATATTTTGCCTGTTCGCTTTGTTCCTATGCAAAACAGGTCAGCAGCCAAAATGGTCTCTCTGAATTTCCACACTTCTCAGACAACATCCAAGATTTCTGTCATGTCTGTAAATTCAACTGTGATTCCCTCGTCTATATATTATAAGTCCCTTTCAGAAGAACTGCTCCCATGCTGATTCAGTCCGCTAAACAGAAAAGCCCCAGCCAGGTAGCCTGCAAGATGGTTTGTCCCGCACCCTAGCACAGTGGTTCTTAACCTTGGGTTAGTCAGGTGTTTTCGAACTGCAACTCCCAGAAACCCCAGCCAGCACAGCTGGTGGTGAAGGCTTCTGGGAGCTGCAGTCCAAAAACACCTGAGTAACCCAAGGTTAAGAACCACTGCCCTAGCATCTGTTTCCCAGATGGCAGCAGCCAGCCAGCCAGCCAGCTCCTGCACTTGCTTCGTTATTTCAGACCTTCATCCAGTGAAGGAGGGACAGCAGCTGCATTAGGTAGACCGCTCCCCATGCGTTAGTGGCAGCATGCTTTGGAATCAGATCCTTGCTAACATGGATCATGGCGAAGAACAAAAAGTCAAGTTCCTGTACACGCTCTGCCCCGCAGACACGCTCCTCCTCTCACCTTGGTCAATTCCTTGATTTCTAAGATGTCGCTTTGCCCACCACCACTAAGTATCCTTTGCCTTTCCCTGTTCACATCTTCATCCTCTTCAATCACAGGTGGGAGTTTTGCATTGACAGGCCTTTGGAAAATGGGGGAAAACAGCATATTACATGGAAGAAGGTCTGAGCATCAAGATATATCAAACAGAAAGACAGATGAACAAATTTCAATTCAGAGATGGGACAAACATACCATTTTTGTTAATTTACAATGGTGGAAACTATGTTCCCTGTTCAGGGCCAACACACCCTAAAGATTAACGTACAATTTATTCAGAATTGAAAAAAAATTACTCTTGATTATAAAATACAAAGTGGGAGGCCAACAGTTATCTGCACAACACAAAGAACACCTGTCATGATTTTGTGGCCAGATGCCGTTCCCTCGATGGGCTTTGTGGCAAACTCAACTTTGCCTGCACACAGGACGTGAAATGGCCCATTGATGGAGGTGTCACATTAACAAATGATTATCTGTGAGATTAAAAGGCAGCCTTTAGTGATGAAGAGGGATGCAGGAGGAGATGAACGCATGGAGATCTGGAGGAAGGAGCAAGAGGAGATGAAAAGGATGGCAACTACTAAGATTGGCGCCGTGGCCAGTTCTAGAAAAATGATGGACATCTATTAAAACGATATGAAAAATGTAGAGTGGGTTTCAGACACTGTATTGCTCCCTTCTTTCCCCCTCTTCTTTGAAGGAGAAAGGGAAAAGGGGAGATGGCAGTGGGAACTGCTTTTCATTAGTTTTTTCTTTCCCAATGAAGAGCTTCACCACTCAGCCCATCCTCAAAATCTCCTCCTGTCCTTTCCAGGTCCATTGCTATGGATGTTTCTCTTACCTGGGTTTGATAAAGAACCTGTACTGGATGAGCACGGTGATGAGGAAGAAGACCACCCCTTCCACGGCCATGGCGAAAAGGTTCCGTCCCACCAATTTCCAGGAAAGAGGGGAGACAAAGCGGTTCTCGCCTGATGGGGGAGAGCAGAGGCACTCATTCCACATCCAGAAACCACCAGAAAGATCCTCAGTCACAATATTGCATACAAATAGCTATTGCTGTTAACAGACTATACTGATTTCTCATACACAGCTAATGTAGAGAGACATAATTTAGCAGTCAACCTAATCACTAGCAACCCCTAACAGAGGTATCTGAATGTTCCAAAAGGTGCTAAAGATTCAGGGCTCCTTCATACATTACACAGGACAAAATGTAGTTTGCCACACAAGGTGTATTGTGTCTGTGAGCTGGTGTAGGGGTTGGGGTGGCCAACTAAGGTGCAGGAGTCCTGAATGCAAGCCATCACTCTGTTTGGGCCAGCCACAGACTATTCTGTATCACAGGATTGTTGCCAGGACAAACTGAAAAGGAGGAGATCTGCGTAGGCCACCGCAGGAAAAGTAGCGCAAGACTTGTAATAGAGAAATAAATAAACCAAATCCTGCCTGCCTCATGAGCGCATGTGGATGATGCGTGTGTTTGCAAATGTAAATTTCTTCACACTTCACAGCAGTTAGAGATCCACTGAAAACATCTGAGATGAGCAACATAAAGCTGTTGTGTGTGAACTGGCTCTCTTTTAAAGCTTGTACACTTTATAGCTGCAAAGGTAAACAGCCTACAGGGACTGTGTGGGCACTGCTTGCTGTGAATTCTCAAAAGCAAAACTGGTATCAGAACATGATTTGCAGTGTGAGAAAGTAGAGAACTCTAATTCTTCTCTCCTCCCTACAACCAGTAAACCCTGAATAAAGTATGCAAAACAGTAGTTTGAATATGCATAAAGAAAATGTAAGCATGCAAATTAGCTCTACTTGCACGATGTTTATAGGTTGCAAAATCCAGGTCTTTTCATGAATAATGTGGATTTCCTAAGTGCAGAATTCTCACTGCCTCAGCACAGAATGAGCCCTGTGTATCCTGTCCACAGTCCCAGACTCCTCCTCCTGCTACCGTACTATTAGAGACCCCTATGGAAGCAACAGTTCACTTACCAAATCTTTCCAAGGCATCAGCCATCGCTTGATTTTTCACCATGTCAATCAGGCCACGGCCCAGACAGAAGTGAGGAAAGATAAGAAACACGGACTTGAGGGTATCGTTGATGTCGTTCAGTTTCTAAGGACACAAAAGCAGCAGCAATCAAATGCCTGAAAACTGACAAAGAAGAACAGATGCCAAAAAGGCAGGAAACCCTGCAAACATATCCTGAAATACTGTAGTCAAATGAGAACTTTGGAAAGCACTTTTGGGGGACTATCAAAAAAGCATCACAGGAGTGCATTTGCACAGTGAAAGCTAGTTTATTTATGGTGTCTCTTCTTAAAAGATTGTCTGAGCCCGGCACGGCGACACAGGCCTTTCCCACATTCTTTTTTTGGGACTAGTGTGATGTGCAGGCTGCCTTGGTTGTTATTGTTGTTGTTTCGACTTGCGTACCACCTCATAGTACAAGAGTGATCTCTGGATGGTTTATAAGTTACTTATGGAAGGAACACTTTGCCCCTGTCCCCACCCCGCAAACTGGTACTCGTTTTACCGACCTTGAAAGGCTGAGTCAGTCTTGAGCTGGCTCCCCAAATCCATTGAGACTGACCTCAGGCTGTGAGCAGAGGCTGACTGCAGCACTGCAGTTTAACCACTGGACCACAGGGCCCTTCTGAAATTGTTTGGAAACTTCAGTGGGTTCAAAACACTGCTTCCCAATGATGTAGACTGTAGCTGGTTCCAGGTAGCATCCGAATTCCCCCCCCCCTTTTTTGTAACAATCTCAGCAGCTACTTGTTCCTCAGCACCATTCAAAGCGTTTTTTACCTATAAAGCCCAACAGGGCTTTGGTCCAAGCTATCTAAAGGACCACATTCTCATAGGATCCTGCTTCAGCCTCTGAAATATTTGGCAAGCTCTGTGGGTGCATGCGTCCCACAACCATCACAGGCACATTTGATGAGGGGGCGAGAGAAAGACTTCTCAAAGGTCCCTCCCAGGTTAGAGAACAGACTTCGAACAGAGACTAGGTTCCCCCCCCCTTTTACCCCCAGCAGGTAAAAAGGGTAGGTGTATTGTACCAAGCTTTTGGCAACTGCCTGGCTACGGAGGAAGCGGCTTTCAATATGGCATGTACATCTTAAAACTTTTCCTTTCTTCACTAATGTGTTTTTACTTTGCTTTTAGCTTTGTTTCTATTTTAATATGGCAATCCATTTAATTGTGTTTCCATAGTGTAACTTACTGCATTTAAATGTTTTTAACCTTTCAGTCGTGTCTTAAGGGCTACTATTGAGAAAAATGTGGGATATTCAATATGTATGTAAATAAAATATTTTTTTAAAATTTATTTTTCTAAGTTCTGAGGTAGATATGCACACTCTTGGAAATGATTTTGGAAATCTTAAACAAGATTTTAAAATCAAGCACTTATCATATTTTACTTTGAAGAAGATTGCTTTTAGTTTATAAGTTGGCTTAGCACTGTTGGAGTAGTAAGGCAGAACTGGAAGCACCTTCCACAGTGTTCAGCCCAAAGGTATTTTTCCATTAAATTCTGCAACATGATTCTGCATGCTTAAAACAAATTCTGTCTCTTGATAGCCCTTTATGTGATGATCAGCAGGAAACTACATTAATAGCCTCACACTATATTAAACGAAAAAGAAAAAGTCTCCTTTTAAGGCAAATTAATAACATGGCAGATGAACAGGGGCTACTTTTCCAATGCTGCTTTTTTTAAAAAAATGCAGATAATTTTCCAAAGAGGCAAAACTGAAGGCTAACATTCAACGTGCTGGTATACACATGTCTCTCAATTCTGCTGTAAAACTGAGCGCTCCAGTCCAGGTTATGCTTGTCCTCACCCAGACTTTCTCTGACTTACACCCATGTAGTCTTGAATTCTGCCTTGCAGGAGCATGGAATGTAGCAAATTAGAGTAGAGGATGGTCCACCATTAGACACTTAAGAATTTCTGTTTACCTTTTGTTTGTTTGTTTGATCAGGAGAAGTTACTAGCCCTGCTATATCGAAGAATGCAGAAAAACTATCTCCAGGTGACTGACTAAAGGCTTATAAAAATGCAAACAGCAGGTAGAGGATGGGATCCCATATTTGGTTGCATTAGTAGGAACATTTCACGAGCAGAATTCCATGCGAGTCCCTGTCCCCGAGCACCACTCCCACCTCTCACTCCTGTGATTTCCCTTATTTTGGGAAATCACTGGAGGAGCAGGATTTAGTCAAAATTGCCTCCCCTGCTTTCATTGGAAAAACCTCACCTCTGCCTGTAAGCAAGAGGAGTCATTCATGCAATGGACGCCTGATGGATAGCCAAGCCTGTATCTACATTGTTCTCAGTACCTATTCCATACTTTTTCACCTACTTTCTGCTCCTAGGTTATGCAGATTTTTGTTGCCATTGTTGTCCATCTTTGTTCAGATACTTTGCTTCAATTATACATAACAATTTACAACTTAAATAAATGAAGAAACCCGGGGTGGGGGAGAGATAAAGCCAGCATGCCCATCAACTGACCAAAATATGGCATTTTGTGTCCTGAAAGCCACAGTTACACTGGGCATGGCTCAACTTCCAGATTAAATTCACATCACATAGGTTCACCTTTTCCCAATGAGTAAATAAATAAAAATCAAGCAGAGCAAAATTGGGAAGGACTATTGTTCATGTTTTGTTTGTTTTTGATGAGAACTCACACTGTTAGCGAACAGTTCCAGGACAAAAGTAGCGACACTTCCGTTGATACCAATGAAGAGGTTCACACTGGTGAGCACCACATATGCTGTACTGGGGATCTTGAACACAAAGGATGCTGGGTACATAAGGGGTGTGATGGACCACCTGGCAAAGAGAAAGGAGTTGGGCCATTAAGGAGCTCGCTCCCTGCACCTCAATGGGTCCTCCTAGCACTCTTGGCAAAGGGGGCCTTCCTTACCCATAGAGCAAGAGGAGGAGAGCCAACACTGGAAGGTTGGTGGAAGACACATAGGATTTCTGTTGGAAGCAGATGAAGATGATGATCACCAAGGTGGCAGGAACGACATAGTTGCACTGTAAGATTAAGAGGGAAAAGAGGGGAGGTGAGAATAGCTCCAAGCTAAAGAGTATAAATTATTGTTGCATCCCAAAGGCAGAGATTTCTCAACCCTAAATCCAGAAATGTAGAAATCTAAGCTTTCCCAGGTGTATCTGCAATGAGAGAGAGATTGCATAGCAAAGCACCAGTGTCCTCTTTAACTGCTTCCTCGGCACATGGACCTCTGCTCCACGCAAAGAGAGTTTGTTGAACTCCTGAACCACCCTTTCTGTCAAGAGTCTCTACTAGCATTTTCAACAAGCCAGGGCATAACTGCAGACACACGTGACACACTTCAGTTGCACTGCATCTGCTAGAAGCAGCACTGTTTCGGTGGTCGAAAAAGGGTAGGAGGGGAGAAACAGATACAGACTTACCATGTCCCATACAAAGTTAGCCAGCCAGTAAATCACCGGCTTCACGCCACTGATGAACTGCAGGTGCTTGGCCTTGCTGACTCGCTCCTGGATCAAGAAAACCACAAAGCTGGCCGGGACAAAGGACATGGCAAAGATGACGCAGATGGAGACCAAAACATCCACGGAGGTGGTCATCCTGAACAAAGAGAAATGTTATGGAGTGACCAACTGGCTTTAGCCTTGATTGGATGGATGTACATGAATCCATTCACACAACTAGATCTTTCATTTAATTAAAATGTCTAGTTTTCTTCCTCATTGTTGAGAACCAGTGTAGCATATTGCTGGACTGGGACCTGGCTGAGGCAGGTTCAGACCTACACTGAGATATGAAACAGGGTGAATTTGGGACATTCACTGTCAGCCTGACCTAACAGAGTTGTTGTAAGGATAAAAGGGTATAGGGAGGACATCCATGTATGTGACTTGGGAGCAAAGGTGGGATACAAGTGTAACTAATAATGAGTGGCTAGCTGGATAGCTCAGTGGTTAAGGTAAGTTGGGAGTTCAGTTCCTCTCTCTGTGCCTCCTGTGAGTACAGCCAGCCTGTGTGGCTTTAGGTAAGCTACAAAATCCCAGGGCATCCTTAGAGGAAGAAGGAAATGGTAAACCATTTTTGAGTACTCTCCACCTGGAAAACCCTGAAAATAGTCACTGTAAGTCAGAATTAACTTGACAGCACATGATCATCATCATTAGTAATAAATGAATGAAACAACTATCACTGGGGTAAGCCTCAGAAACAGCACCTCTTTGATTTCAAGAATGTCAACTAGTCTTCCCCATATTCCTGGCTCCCTTGCCCCCCGCCCCACCCCTACTATCGCTCCAAGACGTACAAGGCAACTTCGGAGAGCTGTTGCTTGGTGAGGTTGAGTGGATGATTGTAAGCCGTGATGCCGTAGTCTGTAGGATTTTCTCCATCTTGCAGGTTGGCCCGGAGGATGGCATTGTTGATGACATTGAGGAAGGCCCCCACGGCATGCCAGCCCTTGTTGTTGAACCACACCTGAACAAGGAAATGTGACACATGTAAAATCCTGACAGCCCACTATCTGTCTCCTCCAACCCCTGCCCATCCTCTTGGGGGGGTGTGTGGCCACTTAATCAAGCCACTTAAAAGTTTTCTGAACAATATGGCTCTAGCTCTCTGAATGCAGCAACAAGGCGCTACCTTTACGTTATCGTTTGTGTCCATGCCCTTCAGGAAGCTCCCCAGGCTGTTAAGAAATCGTTCTGCAGAACCCCCCTGAAAAAGAAAAATACACATTACAAGTCAAAGTAAGTTTATGTCAGGTCCCTTAAGCTATAACCCTACACTCATTTTCCTGGGAGTGATTTTTCACTCCACTTGGTTGAAACTACCATCTCAGTGGACACGTTGTTTTCTTGTCTACTTCTTTGTTTTATTTTAGGGGAATCCTTCTTCCCCATCCCCCAAGAGACCAGTGTTTTCCTGTCACTCATGTGATGTGAGAGTCAGCCTGGACTCTGAAGGAAATTTCAAAACCAAGTTATGAAATACCTCCCGAATATTGGAACCAGCCCAGTGGGAGGCGATTTCCTCTAGAAAAAGAAGTATCTTTGTTATTTACCTTGACTGTTTTGAGGATTTTCTTCACCTGCTTGATGGCATCATTCACTTCTTCATGTCGAGGAAGCATAACGGAGCTGCTGGCTCCCAGGGAAAAGCCACCATACCTAAGAAACCATGACAACAACCACTGTTAAAGCACAGATTGACTTTTGCCTATACGTCTCCCACCATGCTGTAAAAAAGGGTTTGACCTACATGCGTGCAGGTGTGTTTGTGTGTAATTTCAGGCTTGTGTTTCTTGTTTGCTGCCTAGCAAAATGGGATTGCGTTGACAGGCCACACACTCATCTGGCAGGAGGGCAGCCTTTGCTATTCTAAACACCTGCCATCTGAGGCAGATGCCTCCATTTGCCTGAAGGTAGAGCCAGGCTTGCTCCAGGAGTAACGCTGTTCCTAGTTTCACTTGAGCGAGGGATGCTATGCCCCGTTTTCCCAAGGCAGTGTTCCACACATGCCCCTGAGTCACAAGATCTCTCTGTGCTCAGCTCCACGGTGTGACCCCCGTGAATACGGACTCCGAGAACAGCGACTGAACAGGGAGAGTCAAGATGGAAGGAGCTCGAAAGCTTATTGAAAATGTGAATATCACTCTGAGGAAGCAATAGAGGCTGGGATGCATGGGGGGTGAACAAGACTTACAAAAGTTAAAAAAAGAAAGCTGTATTTACCTGAATTCATTCACCCAGATCTTATTCTTCAAACTATGGAGGCAAAAGGGAGAGAACAGTGCTTGTTATAGTAGGAAGACCCTCTGCAAGAACCACCCAGTCCCATATTCAGCAAGCACTGTGACAGAACACACTGGAAAATAAGGGTGCTTTTCAATGGCAAAAGTGCTGCCAGGCATCATTTCACACAGCCACAGCATAATGTGTAGTTTACCCCCTAAAGCAGGGGTTCCCTTCCTTGGGTCCCCATATGTTCTTGGACTACATCTCCCAGCAATCCTGGCCAGTACAGCGAGTGGCAAAGGCTTCTGGCAGCTGCAGTCCAAGAACATCTTATTTCCCCAAGTGCACTCTGGGTGGGCAGAGAGAGAGAGTAGCTCACTTGAGAAGACTGCAATTCCCAGGTATCTTTGGGGAAGATCTGCTTCCAGGAAGCTTTTTCTTTAATTTTTTTTAAAATTAATTTTTCAATATATCTACATTCAGTTTGTGCTTGTTAAACATTGTGTTACATGAGTTGCTTATAATTTGTTTTTGTGTCTTGGTGTCTTCTTAGTTGTCCCTTCAAAATTTATACATTTTTAAGCACTTAATCCATTCATGTGTGTATTTTAGTGTACCATGTTGGCTACTATCATAATATTGCTCTCACAGTATACAATGTTCTCAAAATTTTCTAATAAAATACCTAATAAAAGCAATTCTGGTTTCAAATCTATATAATTTTGAGATGATTTAACTGCAACTTTGCATTTTATACCAATAATAACTAAATAGGTTCCTAACACATAAAAGATGCTATCTAAAGCATTTATGCAGATTTTCTTCATATAACGTATTTTTCGCTCCATAAGACGCACCTTTCCATAAGACGCACCAATTTTTTAGGAGAAGAAAACAGGAAAATATAATCTGTTTTCTTCGCTCCATAAGACGCACAGACTTTCCACCCCCCTGTTTTGTGGGGGAAAAGTGCATCTTATGGTGCGAAAAATACGGTAATTGTTTAGCAATTTCTATCTCCACATTTTCTGTCATGTCTATATCAGTATCATATCTAAGCTTGAAATAAGGATTTTACCTCATCCTTATTTCAAGCTTCAATTTACCTTAAGAACCACCGTGTTATGCCTTTACCCTGATTAGTGATCCCTTATTTCAGTTCAATCCCTTTTCTAATATATATATATAAAATATGTCCCCTTGCAATTCGAGAAGTTAGGTATATACATGTTTTCACCACTGAAGGCCACCTTTTTTTTCCCTTTTCATCTTTCTAAGTAACTCCTTCTCTTGTTTGTCTTTTCCCAATTCTTATTTCTATCTCTCTAAAAATTCTGCCATCCCTTGTACCATCTGAGATCATTTGAATGCACTTGATCTATCTCCAATAGATCTTCCAAGCTATTTTTAATTAAATCTGCTGGTTCTCTCCCCTTATCTTCCCTTAGCACACCTAATACTCTCCTTGGCTCCAGGGTTAGAATTAGATCTCCTAAATGTTCTCTTCTGATTTTCTGTAGCCCCTCCTTTGATTGGCATACATTATCCACCACCCTCTCATTTCCTTGTTCATTATTCCCTGTCTCCTGTTGACTACAGCCCTTCCTTAACTGCTCATTGAATAACTTCACCTCTTTGTTGTGGGATCTCACTATTTCAAAAATTGCCTGAAGGATAGATTTTGTTTCATCCCAAAATTTTCCTTGTTGTAGCATTGTGTCCCAGATATTTGTATTCCAAGTGAAAATTGTCCATTTGCTTAAAGTAATCACTCCAATTCCATGAATATTTGCTTCCACTTGAATCCAGTCTCAGATATAAAGGGTTTCCCCTGACTGAAGGCTCAAGGACACTTGCTCACCAAATAGTTCACTCGATGTTTGTATTCATGGCCTGATGTCTTTTGTAATCCAGCCACAGAGGCAATCCATTCCGGTATTAATTCTGTCCTGGCCTATGCTCTAGTCAAGTTCACCCAGGATGCAGTTTAACAATTCCACTTTGGCACGATTAGGCTTTCTAGGGTTAATTTGTCTATACTTCAGTTCATTCCTCAGGAAAAAAAGGAAGTCAAAAGCACCGTAGAGTGCTAAAGATCATTGCTCTGGGCTTTTTGCCAATGCTGTGCATAACTGTAGCCATAACATAGACAAGTTCAACTCCCAAGAATTGTTTAGCTAATGATGATTTTAAGAGAAAGATTTCTTAAGTTTCTAACACCAAAGTAATACCAAAACTTCCTTCCTTGAAGTATAATTAAATGTCTAATTAATGTCCAATTTATTTTCTTTGCATCTCTCTCCATATCCACTGCTGTTCTATAAGTAGTGAGGATATGAGGCACTATATCTGTTATAGGAATTGTCTCATCCAGGGATAGTCACAAAGCAGTACACTGATAAAATATATTTCTCACCCAATGATAACAGTGATGTCAATTAGCTGATTTATCACGTCTCTATTGCCGGCTGCCGACAACTTGCAAGCAAGCTGTTCAGCTGCTTGTTTCTGCCCGCTGGTTGTTTGGAGAGTTTCCCGGATCAAACGGTGGTAATCACCATCCCCCTCGTGATCAACAGGCTTCTCCCCTATTTCACCACCTCTTTAGGGTGGGTTTAACCCCCTGGTCCCAAACAGGTCAGAATTCAGCCCAAGGGACAGAGCTCTGTCCTCCTGCTGCTGTTTCGTCGCTGCGTCAAGTTGGAAGTCCAGAGAACTTTTGATTATAGTCTTGGTTTCAAGACACAATTTAAAGGGAGCACTTCAAGAAGTATGAGGAAGGGGACTTTGAAAATGCTTGAATAATTGCCAAAAAAACCCCAGGTACTATATACTAAAAGAGAGAATGCCCTTTGAATTCTATTATAGTTCTATAAATTTCCAGGGGAAAACGCTGGCACAGGAAAAAAGCCTTATAATGGATACCTGTCATATGACCTGGTTCTTCTGATATTGCCCACCCTTATTGTATGGGCAAGAAGTCTCACTACAGGACCTGTTGTGCCATGGAGAGAACATCAGGGAGTCCAGAGATTATTATTTTCCATCTTAATTTCTTAAAAATCCAACTTCAGCCCTGCAGCTTTAATGCTACACACCTTTACATAATTCCTAGACACTGAAGCAAAGTTAAACCCCACCTAAATTCAAACCTAGGTTGTTAAAGGAGTACTCCCCCACTCAAGCAAGAGTAGCAACAGCAAAATGAGACATACTGGGCATCTAATCCACAAAATACCTTTTCCTAATGATCTCAGTGTAGGTCTTCACCAGATAATCAGAGATGTTGCGGCCCGTCAGGTTCTGCAGGATGTCTGTGGTATTCTGTATTCTCTGTGGCCAATTGGCAGGGGAGGGTAATAGAAAACAACCCAAGAGGATATTGCTCGTCATAAGGCAATTCAATAATCATAATCTAACATTATGAAGAAACACAAAGCTTTGGTTGAAAGGCTGACAGAATTTTATCAACTAATTACTGGGAAAAACAAGACATAAAATTGGGAATTGCAGCAAAACACAGTAGCATATTTGAATAAGCAACTTATTCTGGATGTCCACTAGAAGAATCAGTTCCTGCTAGAGACCCACTGTTTTAACAAGAATTGCAACCTTTTGTTTTGTTCCAGAATAGGAGAAGATCCAGTGTGAAATCAGTGACAAAGTATATGAAGGGGGAAGAACCACCTGCCCTCCAAAAGTTTGTTTATTTACTTATTTATTATTTAAACTATTTTTATCCCCCTTTAAACAGTTGGTTATGTGCTATTGCTTTCAGGCAGGGATAGAAAACAAGTCTCCATTAACTAAGATTTCTTTACAAAATTATCCAATGCGCAGATAATTTCCAAGATTGTTAATGAAAATGCATGCCGATCTTCTGAATAACCCATTATTGGGAGAAAAGCACAAACATCCCTTTGTTTCTCTTTTCAAAGTATACACAAGAATGTGTACAACATTAAAATGTGAAACACACACACACTGAGAGAAATGCATCCATAGTAAAAGGACATACAAGAAAAAGTGTGAACACCCTTGCAGGAAGAGAAAGAAGTCTTAAGCAGGCCAAGAATTGTGGTCAGATCCTGTGAATGATCTGAATTCCTTCCCTCCCTCCCCTGGACAAGGGCTGCTATATTTTTAGGCAGTGATATTCCTTCCTTCCCTGACCTCTGCCACCCCCAGCATCCCACAGAAGGAGCTGGGATGTTTTCTCCCACAAAAACTCTCTCTGGGGATGGAAGGGTGCAAATGACTAATAGAAATAAATACATGGACAAATTTTCACATCCCTATTTCTGGCATCCTTCTCACTGACCAGTCTGAGTGCAGCTGATGCGAATTGTGTTCTCTATCGTGTTCAGAATGGTGTTCTGAACTATAGGTTACAGTTTAAAAGTTTCTCTCGTTTGCACACATTAAGCATTATTTATTTTATTTTATTTTATTTATTGGACTTATATACCGCCCCATAGCGCTACAAGCCCTCTCCGGGCGGTTTACAATTTTTAATTATACAGGCTACACATTGCCCGCCCAGCAAGCTGGGTACTCATTTTACCGACCTCGGAAGGATGGAAGGCTGAGTCAACCTTGAGCCGGCTACCTGAGATTTGAACCCCAGGTCGTGAGCACAGTTTTAGCTGCAGTACAGCAGTTTAACCACTGCACCACGAGGCTCTTATCTCATTCATAAATACAGTATAGGTTACACTTCACCTAATCCACCCTTCTAATACTGCTCACCTCTTTATGCATTTCTCTTTAATCTCAATTTGTCTGATTTCAGGAGGTACAAGTGGGCTGGCTTTCTTAACAGGCATTGGCAGAAAGACTCATGGGCTAACTTGTCCCTTTGCTCCCCCCAAAACCCCAAAGCAACCAGAGTTTGCTATACCTGGGGAGGAGGCAGGCCACCAGCCCCTGGGGGACACTCCGGTAGCATTTTCTTGATCTTCTCGCTGCTGCACATGCAGGACGGGGAGGGGTTCTCCATGGTCCAGTTGCCATTTTCCAGTATTTCCCTGGCATCCGGGGACACAGGAGCAGTGGTCCATTCCTCTTCTCCCACAGAACAAGGGCTATCTCTGCACAAAGCAAGAGCCAGAAAGACAGAGCATCACCAACACTTCAGAAGCCAAAGGAGTCAACTGTAAGTTCCACTGAATCAGTGGGCAAAATTTAGTTGTGACTTAACTACACAAAACAACAGGATTCTAGCCAGTTTTCGAATACAGAATCAGGTTTGGAGCAAAGCTACCATTGAACTAAGGGTTCAGAAGATACAGTGGTGCCTCGCTTTACGATTGCCCCGCATTACAACAAAACCGCATTACGACGATCTTTTGCAATCGCAATTGTGATCGCAAAACGATGGTCTGAATGGGGTTTTTCCGCTTTGCGATGATCAGTTCCCTGCTTCGGGAACCGATTCTTCGCAAAACGACGATTTTCCTCCAGCTGATCGGTGGTTTCAAAATGGCCACCGGGTAAATAAAATGGCTCCCCGCTGTGTTTTTGGACGGATTCCTTGCAAGACAGCCACCGAAAATGGCCGGCCTATGGAGGACCTTCGCTGGACTGTGAGTTTCCAGCCCAATGGAACGCAGTGAAGGGGTTTCAATGCGTTTCAATGGGCTTTTTATTTTCGCATTACGACGTTTTCATTCTACAGCGATTTCGCTCGAACGAATTAATGTTGTAATGCGAGGCACCACTGTACCAGGAACTATAAAAGCTCTGTCCCAGAACATCAGCAGTTTCCCTGGCAATGGAGGTTTCACCAGGTTAGGTCCAGACACTTCCAAAGGATTCATTGCAACCACAAGGAGAGAACTGCCCTCCCCAAGCTGGCAGAGTCCACATCAAACTCGGCCAGATGCCCTGTTGTCTGTGGATGATGGTTGTTCTGCCACACATCTGATGGGCTCCAGAATCAAAAGGGCTGTGTTAGAAGGTTGCGAGGGGAGAGGTCACACTTCACAGCCCAGCATCATGTTCTGCCTCTTTTGCAGAATAATGGTGGATGAGATGCCTGGCCAGTTGTTACCAAAAAATCCATGATGCAGAGTCCAGTGACATGTGAGTGTTGCCTTGATTTGTTCCAGCCCTTTGTCTTCTTCTGGGCCCACCTCCCCCCCCCCAAGCTCCACTTGTCACAAGGAGCCTGCACGAATTCTACTTACGGGATGGAGTGCCCACTCATGCAGCGAGTCCCGAAACCAGGTTTGCTGAGGAGAGCATTCAGTAGCTTCTGTGTGCCGGTGTCTTCTGGAGCATCATTGCTGCAGATAGATTTTTTAAAAAAATAAAATCATACATTAAGACTTGGGCCTTTGAGCTCATATGCAGCCAGAGATAACAGCAATGTGTAAATTGAAGAGGAAGGAAAAGTTCAGGAAGATGAAGCCCTTTGCTTCAGACAAAACGGTGCACACCTGTGCACTGCTTGCACAGAAACCATAAATTTCTCTGTAATTGCATAGAAACCGACAACTGTTGTTAAGCACAGGCACCCCAGTCAATGTACTGGATCTTTTCCCAAACCCTGCTCAGATACTCCGTAAGAATCACTATCAGTGTTAATTTGCATTACACTGTTTTTTGTTTGTTTGTTTTTATTCAGAAGTACTGTGGCACTCTGAAGACTAACAAACTTATTTTTGTATCCCCTTGTGTGGATTATCATCCCTTTCTTCTGATGCATGGAGAACATGCATCTATTTCCATGCGTCTGAATCCGTGGATTGTAATTAGTGGAAACTCACATAGAAATTAATTTGTTAGTCTCAAGGGAGCCACAACACATTTGTGTTTTCTTAAAAATCCAACTTTTTAAGAATCTGAAACAGATTAACACAAACTCCTCTTCTGAAAATTCCTACATTGTAGATGCAAGTAGAATTCTATGCAAATATGATTTTTATCTGCCTGAACTTGCAAAGCAGTTCTCTCGCCCCCACCCCACCCCTATTTAAATAACATTTTCTCATCAGAGTACCCCAAGTCTTAATGTTTTCAGGCTGGAACCTCCTGGTCTGAACTAAGATCACTGTTCACTACGCGTAGATGCAAAACGTCTTCTGCAGGACGTAGCCTCTTCCTTCCTTCGAGACCATGGGGTGTGCTTCCCATCGGCCTTTAGGGATCAAATGAGGATCTTCTGTTTTCAACACCATTCTACAGATACGTTCTGCTCTTTGCATACTGCCTCCTGCTCTGACTGTCTCCAGCTCCCTTGCTTATGGGCCCCACCCTGCACATGCGATGCACTCCTACGTTAATCACCACCCCACCGGACTATACTCCCACCCTTTACCCACTGAGCCTCCCACACACCCAACCGCCATGCGTGCCACTTCAATATTGCTTCCTTTCCTCTGGTCTAATGTGTACCTGATAAACGTGTACTGCTCATCGTACATCCACGGTTGCAGTTCCAGGCTTGGATATTTACCAAAGGGAGGCACAATCAAACTGAACAGGAGAGCAATGCAAACAAAGACAGCTGGGAGGACAATCTGAAATTGCAGAAGGAGGGAGGGAAGAAAAATTCTCTTCAGATGTTCTAAGGAATCAGAGTGTAAAGACCCAGCCACGGAATCAAAAAGAAGCAGTCGTGGACATACAGGCTTTTTCAATCGCACTGCCCTCTGGTGGCAATGAGGCTGAACTGTGCCAATGCAAAAACCCACATTTAAAACCAAACAATTTTATTGCTTAGTGGTGAAAATCCTTTCAAAGGGCACTGGATGCCAATTGCACAAATGCCGCACCATAGAGTTGAAACAAAATTTAGTTTTCTGATTCCAAAAGCTGAATGTCGACACCAGTATGTGCTATTAAGAGTATGAAATCAGCCTTGTTGAGATCGGCAGAATAGATGATGTCCACACCATGTCCTAAATCATATTGCTTAGTTTACAGTCAGACATTATCAGGCCATGATGGCTACTGCGTGTCAGCTAATCAGTCACTGTCAAACAGGAAAGCTGTAGTGATACCAAAAGTCTTCCAGGGGACTGAGAGGCACCATGGAAATGCAGTATTAAGGTAAACAGCGTTCCATGTCTAAATCACACTGGCCATGTGACCACGGAAAGATTGTCTTCGGACAAACGCTGGCTCTATGGCTTGAAGAGCGGGATGAGCGCCACCCCCTAGAGTCGGACACGACTGGACAAAAATTGTCAAGGGGAACCTTTACCTTTACCTTTACCAAAGGGCTTTGAAATCAAGGAATCACCATTTTGCAAATATACATTTCAGAACTTTGACACATTGGGAAGGGGACAAACCTCATACCCTCATGCACTGTAGCTTCAAACTGGAGTTTAGATCCTGTACTTATTCAAGATTAAACAAACTGGGGGTGGTGGGGGTGGGAAAAAGTAACTGCTAGCTACATCTTTAAAGTGGGTCTGCATTAACCCTCAGTTTCAAATAGTGGGTTTATCACACACACACACAAGGGAGAGAGAAAGAAAGGGTTTTTGAGACACCAGGGCAACGTTACAATTTGCAGGCAGAAACGCTCCTCTCACCTGGGCGAAAAAGCCCTTTCTGCTCCGTTTGGCAATAAGCAACCTCTTCCAGAGCAGGGCTACAAACTGCTGCTGGGTCAGCTTCCAGCCCTTCATCTGGCTGGATCCTTTGCCATCCATTCCACTGAGCAAGTCAGTCTCCCGGGACTCTGCGAGGAAATAATGGCAATTCATTAAGACGATCATTCCCTTCTTCTGGGTTGAGGGATCACCCCTGGATAGCGTATGTTCTCTGATTTCAGCAGATGTGAGAAAAAGCACAAACTAGCAGGCAGGAGGAAAGCAACCATTTCACTTAGCTACCCACCCTAACGCCTTTGGCGTTAATGGGTGGATCAAAGCAAGCAGCAACTCAAGAGAAGACTTTCAGAGGTATCTGTGTTCCAACAGACCTGAGAAAGCCCCCATCGATGCTGGTTGGGTGTGGAATACAAGCCGTGGTTTGTGGCTGCCTCCTTCCCCAAATCTCCTGACACATCCAGGAGGAGAGAGGGCCGGGAAAGACGAGGCACTTGCCAAAAACAAATTTACAGTTGCCACAGACAACCGGGCAACTGCATTTCAGAAATGCTCAACTTTATAAACTTCCAGGGACTAACACTCTAAGGAAGGCTCTTTCTTACTCTCCATTCCACATTTAGATAGATTTTTTTCCCCTTGTGGTCTGTTTTTTGCTTGTTTGTTTGGGATATACCGGGACTAAGCTGTTTCAAACATAAATGCAAATTACTGCATTACTCAGACTTGATGACTCCCGCATGAATGTGTGGACTTCCCTAAAAAGGAATATAAGGGACTATGGATTTTTAAACAGGATCACATAATGAATCTGTAGGTGTGCATCAATCAAATAGCATAGTTTGCCATCAAACAGAAACATACCCTTTTGCTGTTGAATTTCATTAGAGATAAGCCAAAAAGACATACAGTGGTCTTCCCTCCGCCCTCTGTTTACCTGGATCTATGTCAGAATCATTGGAGTCAAAAGCATCATCTTCAGTGAATGGACGAAGGCAGCTTTGCCTGTCTCCAAAGGGACGACTTCTTCGGGCAGGTAATGTGCCATCTGGAAAAACAAAAACAAAAAACACTTGGCTTACAAGCTGTTCGACCACCAGCTCCAACTTTTACACCCTAACAGGAGCAAAGGTGTTAATGAAACAATCATAAGTGCCTGATGGTTCCCTTTCATGTCTAAAAGCACTGCTCAGCCAAGATGTTCTCCAGGCAAAAGGGACAGAAGGAAGTCTCACACGTGTGTGTACCTCAAGAACAGATGAGATCCTGGTTCAAAACTGGGCATGAAACAGGAGGACATCAGAATCTATGGGGGCTTCTCAAAATTTTATCACCGAACCCTGGTGTGAGGTTCCTGAGGCAAACTTAACAAAATGACTCATTGTTTCATCACTGTTCTAAGGACCTTTTTTCTTTCATCTTTGGCATCATTTTCATTACGGCAGTGTTACTCATAGTATGAGAACTGCAGGCTCAAATTTTTGTATGGAATAATTAGCAGATTATGTCAGTGCCATAGTGTGAAATCACTAGGTCCTGTAACTAGGTGCCTATCAGACTATCCAACCATCAAAATGCTCTTGGTTTGTCTTCAGGGGAGAAAAAGTCAAGTGTGGGACCTAGTAAAGGTATTACTGACTTTTTCTGCAAGTTTTCTGTAGACCACTTAAGTAGGAACTCCATTTGAACACCTCTGCTCTAGCACTTAGCTTGCTAAAAGACTTGCTTGAATGACATGGCAGTCACCTAAAGCCACTCCACAAGGTTTCCTGATGGAGGCTGTAATAATCCAAACCTGCTTTACAAATGTATCACATCACTTGGGGCGGGGAATCTGTGCTCTTCATCCATCTCCTAATATTCCTTGCCAGCACTGAATTATGGGCGTTCTAGTTCAAAACATCTGGAAGACTGCTATGCCTGCTGTGTCTTGCATGGGTTTTGCTTGCATTTGGGCTGATTCACAAAGGGAAAGAATTTCAAAGAGAATGGCCACGTTTGCCATGTGGAATAGTGAGGTTTTTTTGGTAGACTTCATGCAGAGACCCATAAAGTCCGAACAGAAATAACATCCTTAGAAGCAAAAGTTGCATAAAATCATATTTACAAACAGATTTACCTGAGGTCTCTGCATCCACACCATTGTCTTCTGCCACTTTGAGAAATATCTGAAAGACAGAGGGATTGAAAATTACTGAGTAAGCTGTTTTGGACAGTAGCCATATTGTACGGCATCCTTCCCTTCCAGTTCTATTAGACTACAGTTCTAGTTACTCTCAGAAAGAAAGAGAAAAAATATGGTGTTGGGAGTTGTGGTGACACACATCTGGAGGATGCTGGTTTGGGGATGATTGCTATAGGGTTATATTTTAAAACTGTGTAAAGGTCTCCAACCTTATAGCATGCAGAAACAACATAGGATTTCTGCACCATCAGGATGAAAACAAATTGGTTTCAGCTCATATCCAGCTTTATTGAGTACAATCCACTGTTACATTTTCTCCCAAACTAACACAAACACTGTGGGGTGCAGGCCAGAGAATCCCAAACATTTTTACAATCTGCCATGAAAAAGCTCTTCAGAATGAGAAAAATATCATTCTCAGCAGGAGTCTGCAGTTTTTGGGATGCTCTACCCAATACAGATTAAACACATTCTTTTTTTTTAAATACCGGTAGCTCTTTAAGTTTTATCCTGCTACTCTCAATCTTTGGTTTACATAAGAAAAACTGTAACTGTGAGGGGTACTTAATTTCTTTTTCTTTTACATTTTGTTCTTCTTGCTGTCAGCAACCATGGGAAATGTATACAGATAAATGGAGGGGGCGTTTTAAAAGCTCCCTGCATGTAAGAGCTGTATGTTCTAATAACATATTGTGTCTCATAAGACTGAGTTCACAGGCTGCAATTGAGAGCGTCCTATGGCTGAAGCCGATACAGCTCAAAAGGCTTGAAGTATGTGCTTACAGACCCAATGGTTGGGAGTTCGAATCCTGACTGTGCCTCCTGGGAGATGGACCAGCTCAGATCCCCCTGAGTATGTGTGAATAAAGGGGGTTAAGATCTCTGCTACTTGCACAGCCTTGGGCAAGCTTCACAATCCCAAAATGCCACCAGAAGGAAGGACAAGTAAACCACTTGCAAGTACTTTGTAACTAGAAAATCCTGGGTCACTGTAAGTTGGAGATGACCTGATAGCACATCATCATCACCATCATCATTGTTGTCGTCAATGGATCCAATGTGGTTGGATCCACATAAGCAGCAGGGGCCTCCAAGTTCCAGCTCCTTGTATCACAAGGCAACTTGCTTTTCGTGCGGTTTAGAGGCTCTGTGTGTAATGTACCGTGCAGAAGTCTCTGTCCTGAAAAAGGACACCCGCTGTGCATGGCTCTGTGTGTGTGTGTGTAGAAGAAAAATATTCGAATCATGGCCGTTGGGGGAGGGCGGGAACTGCATGAACCACGGCATATCTACCTGAACACGCAGCCATCACAACACTTGAGAAATGTTCCTGTCCCTTCCCATTATTCACATACCTCCTCCAGAGTAGTCTCAGAAATGCCATAGCTGGAGATGCCCAAGTCAGAGAGGCGGTCGTCGATCTCATGAAAAAGCTCCACAAAAGCTCCTTCTCTAGCTGCTTCATATGGCAAAACATACGTTAACTCGTGGCCAATGTCCTCTACCAGCTTGGCTTCAGGAACATGTTTCGTAATGAGATTGGAAATTGCAGATACATCTGGAAGAATGAAGCTGCCATTAGACTCCTCCGCTGCTGGCAGTTTCATACTGTGCTGTTGTACTAAGAGCAAATAACCATGCTTTAATATTCGATGTTTTAGATGACTGGCGTGCCTGTTCCTCTGCCCACTCTTGCCATGGTTAAGATAAAAATCCTTTATTTGTTTCAAAGCACCTAAGTTCATGTGGAGAGTGTGTGCAGGGTGATCAAACTTCACTTCCTGTAAAAGGAAGAGCTGCTCCTGTTCCTGGAAGTGTTCTCACCCAGCAGAAGCTTCCCTCTACCAGTCAGGACAGTGGTCCCCAACCTTGGGCCTCCAGATGTTCTTGGAATGCAACTCCCAGAAGCCTTCACCACCACCTCTGCTGGCCAGGATTTCTGGGAGTTGAAGTCCAGGAACATCTGGAGGCCCAAGGTTGAGGATCACTGAGTCAGGAGATAGGAGGATTCCTTCTGAACCCCACCCCACTCTGCAATGTCTGCAATGCCCCCCTCAAACTTTGCTCTGGAGGGAGGGACAGAGAGCGGGAAAGGCGGTGTGGAACATGGGTATGAAAACTGCTTCCCTGAAGTTTCTGGCAGCAGGAGCCTTCAGAACGACAGGTCTGTTCCTGCCGGCAGAAGCAAACTCTGGATGTGAAAGTATCCTAACCAAGTCAAACAACATATTTATCAGTACTATAAGTCTTTAGGGGATTATGCGGGTGAAGTTGGGTGGACATTTCAGGAAGAAACACTATCCCAAAATAACCCATCGTATCTATGGATAGTTAAAGAGCTACACTCTATCAGCTTGAACTACTGTTGTCTGGAGTGTACGAAGCAATCTGAATGTTTCACAGTTTACTGGAGGGAAAACTTACCTATTGTCAGGGTGTCACTTTCATGGTCACTGCCCAGCCCAGCATCAGAGCTACTCTGAGACACACTGTCTTCCTAGTTAACAAAGAAAGAAAGAAAGAAAGAAAGAAAGAACAAAAAGAAAGAAAGAACAAAAAGAAAGGGTGAACCAATTGTCTCTGATCTGAAAGGAAGTCAAGATTTAAAAAATGGAAAAATATGCAATCATTTTTTTAAAAAAAAACTATAAAAGAAGACAATGACATCTAAGCAGCTATATCCTTAAGAATGGGGTTTTATTTCTAACTTGAGGCCAAAGCATTTTTCAACCCAATCTCTTTTCGTCAGAGCAAACTCAACGTGGCGTAGGATGAAAGTGACATGTTCCCTCTCCCACCCCAGCCTTCACTGTGTCCCAAACGTTGTTGTCTGGATAAAAGATTTAGGGAGGTCCTACGCTTGTGCAACTCCAGTTTGGGATTTTGTGAAACTCTGGGGGTAAAATGTGCTCCGGTGGACCCCACTCCTTAAGAGGGTCCCCTTCTTTGTCTTCATCACTCTAGCTGCTCACCATCTACTCGCTTCTCTCTCTGGCTGTAATCTGCAGTACCTCTCAGGGCAGAAATTATGGAGGAAGTATTTTCCCTCCGATTAACTGATTCTCCTTCTATAGTAGAGGAACCAGACTTGCAAACTAAACTTGTGTTTACCATCCAATCACAAAGCAATACACATTAAAGACAAGAAAGAGAGATGCAAAAAAGCATTGTGCAATGACAAATGGAAGTTGTCTGGATAGTTCAGTGGGTTAGGTCTCCGGTTGTGAAGCCAGAGCCTGGGAGTTTGATTCCTCACTGTGCCTCCTGTAAGTAGAGCCAGCCTGTGTGGCCTTGGGCCAGCTGCACAGTCCCAAGATGGCCCCCTTGAAGAAGGGGGATAGTACATCACTTCTGAGCTGCCATAAAACAGAACTGAGTTGATGGCACACAATTATTATTTATTATGACAAATGGATATCCTCCGCTAGTTGAGGGAGCATCTCTTCTGAGCAAATGCAAAACAAGGACAAAGTGTGAAGAGATTCCTGTTCCTACTTCTCTTTCTGCTTGCTCATTTGGAAAGGGCAGGTGAAATGGCAGCAGGAACTAAAGGGAGAAGCCACTAGTCCATAACATTCCAAGGACTGGAAGTGGGTCCCGTCCCCCCTCCCCCCGCTGGGACAAAGACCTCGGCGAGTCCCAAGAATACTGACCCTGAACATTGGCCCAGTGCTTTTATTTTCTGATGCATTTACATGTGATCTGACTGCTTTTTTCATAACTAAAAAACCAGTACAATTTAAAATACGTATTATAAATTTTAAAGTGTAGCTGAATCAGTTGTCATATTAAAAGAAGTAAAAATTATTTTGAAACATCAAAATAGTAATTATCATTAACGACAGAAAAGTGAAGCACATTCTAGAAAGCCCCTGTCCTAGCATTCAGTCAGTTGCTTAGATAGGAAGTTCTTTGCATGCTAGCAGAAGAACACCAGTAACTCCCAGTTCAGCTTCTGTGTGTAATGAGATGGTGAGAAGAGGACATCCAGGACCATGAAACTGATGCCCTTTTCTCAAACACAGAAATCCCATAAGAGAAAAGCATCATCTGAAGAGGCTCAGAGAGATATCCCATCTCAAGAAAGAGCAGCATCAGCCCAACTTTTGAACACTGGCGTTTTAGAATCTCAAGAAGAATGCAAAACCCCCACTTATGTATCATTTTAAGCACCTCTTTGAAGAAAGCAAGCAAAACTGTTCAGCAACAATGCATTAGCTCCCCTGAAAATCACAGTCTACAGTGGAATTCTATTATCAAGCTGTACCATTATACACTTTTTCTGGTTATGGCCTAAAGAGAACGATAACCCTTAAAGAATCTACCACTGTCCCCATTTAGGTTGTTTTCAGAAGGAAATGGACCGCCAGCCAGGTAGAGCTTCCAAAAGCAGTACCTTTTTCAGGTATGAGACCGTGCCGCTACTGTTTCTGCAGGAACTCAAAGAAGAATCCACATCCTTTTTGACAAGGGTGAGATAGTAACCTGTCCCAAGCTGGTTCTTCAGAAACAGAGAGGAACCAACACAGCACAGTTTGCCATGAGAAATGATGGCAATTCGGTCTCCCAGGATGTCTGCCTCATCCATGTGATGCGTCGAGAGAATGATGGTGCGGCCTGGAACCAAGAAGACACATCAAGTGCATTGGACTAGTATGACCACAACGTAACCAGAGGTTTTCTCTAATGGAGCACATGAACATTTCGTTGTTGCTATGGGCCAGGAAGTAGCTCCCAATTTATGGCAAGCCTAATAGTGCTTTTGAGGTACATGAGATGTCCAATGAGTGGTTTACCTTCAGCACCCCTCCCTGGACTTTCCATAGTTGAGTGAAGATTTAAACCCAGATCTCCCGAACTCTTGTCCAGTACTCCACACACTGACTCTCAAATCAGTGGTTCCCAACCTTGGGTAACCCAGATGTTCTTGGACTGCAATTCCCAGAAATCCCAGCCAGCACAGCTAGTGGAGAAAGCTTCTGGGAACTGCAGTCCAAGAACACCTGCATTACCCAAGGTTGGGAACTATTGCCTCAACTGATAGTTTAGGATGGTCCAGAACATGGGAGAAAATGTGGCCCCAATACTCTCCCAGTAGTGTGGCCCCAGTCAATTGGGGTGGAGGTATCCCAAATAAAAGAGATCCGACTGTAGATCTCTGCCGACCCATCTAACTGGGCTTTTAATTTGGCTCTATTCATACAGGGCTTGATTAAACCCCAACAATTTGTCAAGCCATTGAGAGGCAGGAGAATGTGAGAAACTTTTGGCTCTTTGACCAACTCTCACTTTGCTGCCAATAGAAAATGGGACTGAGAGCCAACTATGTCACAGGCCCGCAGCCAAACCAGAAACCTATGTGACATGGTCTAAATTGGCCACGCCACCCTAATAAGACCCATCCCATTCAATACACTAAGCTAGAGATGTTTAAGAGCTTCACATTCCCATAACACCTGGAGGGGGTGTTCCTTCTCTTGCTACAGCGGGTTATTTTCTGATTATATTTTATATTGCATTTTAATCCCTCACCTAGTTGTTGATTCAACCAGAAGGAAATCACGTCTGGCCAGGATTTTAACGGGAGGTTTCTTTTAGGTCAACAAAAGAACTGGTTTGTTCTTTCAGACTGTTTGCAAATCTTTCTCCAGTTCCACTCCTAGACTGGTTCTCTCCCCCTCCCACTTATTATACATGACCGCCAACTTGGCACGATGCAAGATATGATCTATCACTTCTAAACATGTAGAGATCCTGTTCTGCTCTTCAACCCCTCAAATCATCTCCTAGCAGGCCAGGCAATTTTTCAACTATTAAAAATGGATACTGCTGCAACATTCTGTCCTCCACTGAGTGCATTACCTAGGGTTGCCTGGGGTTGAACTTGATACTTCCTATATGCAAAGATTTCTCTCTGCCCACTGAACTATGGCCCTAAACTGAAGTTCTGGTTCTCATACAAAGCAACTAGACCTTTTTACTGGGCTACAAGAACAATACCTTGGCGATATTTCAATAGGAGCTCCCAGATCCCTCTGCGAGAATATGGATCAACACCAGCTGTTGGTTCATCCAAAATGACAACTTTAGAACCACCTACAAAGGCCAGAGCTATTGAAAGCTTTCTCTGCATGCCACCTATGAAGCAAAGTCATACAGAACCCACGTTAATCTATGATTTAACACAGTATCTCCACATTTTAGTTTAAACTCAGGGTGTCTCCAGAAATGCCAGTGTGAACCTGCAGGAATACATAGAGGGCCATAACCAAGACATGTCAGGCTAAAACAAGAGTGGGCCCTTTGTGATGCTCTCGAAGCTGCTGATCACAAATTCCTACAATCTTCACTACTGGCTGTACCAGTTAGGCCTTGTGGGACCTGCAAACTGACAGCACCCACAGTTGTCCATTACTGATCAGTTAGGTGGCATTTTGAAAAGGCAATGGTGTTTTAAACATAGCTGGTAAATGTTTAGGTTTATTAAGGAAACAATTAAAAAACAACAACACCTAATTGTCAAGAGATAAAAATAGTACAAACTTCAAAGTACTCAGTAAATGTATGCTAACTTGAGATAGGCTCAGTTGACCAACAGGTCTGTACCCAAGTCAATGCCATGACTCTTAAAAATAAAGAGGAGTCATGTCAAAGGTATTGAAGTGGATAGAACATGCTGGGATAGTGACAAAGAAAAAGCACATATCACCTCCAACAGCGCAGGCGGGTCAACTGCAATTCCACTTTCAGCTTAAGGCAGAAGAGCAAATATTTATTCAAAGTTTGGAGCAGTCTGTTTGCAAGGACCTACCTCATCCTGAAAGCGCTATGCCTATGCAGATAAGATAAGCAACAAGATATGATTGGGGAAAATTAAATTAAATTTACCAGAGAGTTTACATGTCTTTGTTTTGAGCTTGTGAGGCAAACCAACATCGATGACCATCTGTTCCATCTCCTTTTTCACCAGCTTCTCTGACAGCCCCTTCAGGCGTGCATAAAACCAGATGTGTTCCTCCACTGTCAACCTAGGTGAAGGGTGTGACACGTACTTTTAGACAGAAAAATTAAGCCTGCTTCTCAGATGTGAAGACTGCAGATGTGAACAGCAAAATACAGTTTCTAAGGCTGGGGCCCTAGCTAGAAACAGAGGATGCCACCTGCCACTAAGTCAGACGATCCCCCACCCCCGCATCCTCCATCGAACCTCTGTCTATAAGAACCATCATTTAGGTTTCAGACAGAGTTCTTTTTTTATCACCAGCCATTTGATCCCTTTAAGTAGAGATGCCAGGGAAATGAATCTGGGACATTCTGCATTGAAAGTATCCTTTTAAAAATGAAAAACAGCCCCAGAAAGCTTCAGGCTATTTTTATAGAGGGGCAGTTGCCTAACTAAACAGAGACAGACGATCATACTTCAGACATATTGTGAGAAAACAAGACTCACTGACAATAATGCTATGAAAAGTGGAAGGCGGCAGGAAAAGAGGAAAACCTTAATATTAATCGGGTTGACATAGATAAAGGAAGCCACAGCCTTTAGTCACAAAAACCTGAGCAGGGCTATTAATGACAGGGCCTTCTGGAGGTGACTTGATAGTCACTTCTTCTTCCCCAGAAGAAGAAGACAACGACGGAGAAGGAGGAGGAGATATTGGTTTAAACTGTTCCCCACCAACTCAAAATCAACCTCCCAGAAGCTGTTTTGCTCCATCACAGATGGCAAAGCAAGTGTGCAGGAAGGATAATTACGAGCAGAAAAAGGTATTTCACATTTCGTAGCACAACTTGCTATGCATTTTGTGATGCACCAAACTGAACATAGAGCCCTCCAATCGTATACTCTCATCTTTCATGTCCTTGACAACAATACAACTTGCTGAAAAGATTGACCTTAATCCAGACCTATGCATTTTGTGATGCACCAAACTGAATATAGAGCCCTCCAATCGTGTACTCTCATCTTTCATGTCCTTGACAACAATCCTTCTTTTGCAGTTCCAGACAGGGAGCCAAATCAGAAACCTACGAAATGCCTGAGGTAGATGAGGCTTCGAGATCTCCTCTTTAGCACAGGAAGCAGCCCTGTCTCAACACCTGCAAATAAACCCTTTTGATTTTACCTCCTGTCCTCCAAGGAATATTACAAGGATAAGAACAGGGGAGCCTTTCATCCTCCATGGCTAGAGACGACTATACTAGCAAGCTTACATGCTGGCTGCAAGTGTACCATAATCTGGTGTCTCCATGCTGATGAGTAGAACTCGAGAAAACAACTATAAAATTCTACAGTAAAAAAAAGCCCTCTAAACGAAATTTGGAGTTCCTAAAATTACACATAGGAAGGGATATTGAGAAAACTGCTGACTGCTGAACCTCCAACTAATTCTGTATGGAAATGGTGTTGCAAATGCAAACGCTATTCAGAACGCCCTTGTTCATGGAAGCTTTCTTGCCATAATAAAATATTTCCGAGATGGCGAGCAAGGAGGTAATGTTCATGTAAATGGTCCCTGCAAAACCCAACATGAGAGAGGCTGTAATAAACTGAACTGTAACTATTTATAGAAAAGCTGGCTGCCAACATTTCATCACATGACAGTGTGATCAAAAGGCGGCCGGGTTTACAGATGCTTCAGAGACACTTGCAGAGCTTCAGAAGAAAAAGGAAGCTGATTCTCAGTGGAATTCAACCCTATCCCAATGATGTCCCCAAGTGTACCCTCTAACTTCTCCCCTTACAAGGGCAGGTCGCTTCTGTGGAGCAAAGGAAGGCTAAGGTGGTAGAATGGATTGTCCACTTCAGATTACAGGTACAGTTATTTTTGAATGTGTTACTTTTTTAAAAAGTTCCTACAAAGAAGCAAATGAGACATACAGAAAGAGGTTCTATGACAAGATATCTGCCTGCAGTAAGAAGTTTATAAAAGGAAGTCTGAATGCCAGAAGTTTGTAAATGTACTATACAATTATATAAAGCATAAAAACTTAAGAAAGCCATCAAAAACACAAGCCTTAAGTGTGACACTTTGGCTTTTTATCATGTTTTTTTTCTGAGGCAAATGCAGACTTAAGTATAAAACACTGCAACTGGGGGCCCTTCTTAAACTAAGAACAAAAAGAAACTGAGATTCTGAGAAGGGAAAACTGCAACACGTTCAGTCACATTTTGGCCTAATCAGAGGGAAGGGCATTACACACAAGGGTCTTTTCAAGCGGAGTGCTCACTCTTCCGCCTGCCCTGTCCTCAGGAAACCTGACCAGTTATGAAACAAGATACAAGGGAGCCAGGAGGTCACCGTGTCACTCACTCATCGAACAGTACATTGTGCTGGGGACAGACACCCAAGTTCTGCCGGATGTTGTTGAGTTCAGAACGGATGTCTTTGCCAAGGATGAAGGCTGTCCCCGATGTCGGGGGAAACAATCCAGTTAAGATGGACCTAAACACAACAGAAGGAAAGGTTAATTCCGACATGACCGAGGGAAGATGGGCTGCTGAAGGCATTTGCCCGCCTAATAAACAGTGCTGCCTCTTACATGGTTGTAGTTTTTCCAGCTCCGTTGTGTCCCAGGAAGGAGGTGATTTGCCCTTCGTAGAAATTCAGTGTCAGGCCATCTACAGCCAGCTTCTTGCCATCACGGTATACCTTCACCAGGTTCTGAATGGAGACCCCAAGGCGAAGATGACTTGGGTCTTCTTCCATACAAACTGTGGAAAGTGAAGGTCAAGGAAATCTTCTCAGTGATGCAGGTTATATCATAATATGTGCAAGTTATTCCAGTCACAGGCTGAGCAACGGTCAGAAAAAGGAACAAAGGGTGAACCGGGATATGAGGACAGCGTGGCAATTTCCTGAAGTTGACATGGCTGGAGAAAGCTAGCTGAGTGCAGCAGGGAAGTCTGGTCTGTTGGAAAGGTTTTCATTAAAAAAGCCCACAGGGCGAACTGACTAGATTTGGTCAGGCTAAGTCAAACCTCCTGTTGCCTATGGGTAGGCTCAGGGTAAGTTTACTTTGGCAATCCAGTGGAACACAATTGCCCGAGCATTTCCTTACTAGATCCATGTAACCCAGCATTCTTTTAGCAGTAGTGCAACTGGCTAGATACATCTCTGCACGTTTACAAGCATGGCACAGAATGAATGGCCTTCTTCAGGTGCTGTTTGCAGCGTTCAGAATTATGCTGCACCTATCATCAGTTTGGAAAAGCCATTTTTGGGGGTGACTACAAGCCCCAGAAATCACTCAGCCACCCCATGGCCAGTCATTCTGCTGGCTGATGGATCATCCAAAAATAAAGAACTTATCCACTTTGTTTTCCTTTAGAGACTGAATTCCTATATTAGAATTAGGATGCAGAGGTAAAGTGTGCTGTTCCTGAATGAGGAGACCCACTCAGCTGTTATGGGAAAGCACCCAAGGTTATGAATTTGTTCTGGTCCTTTTCAAAGTGATCAAAGCTAGTGGTAAGCATCTCATCCTGTGGTAGTGAATTCCCACAATTCTACCTTCTATGGTGAAGAAGGGCCCCCTATTGCCAGTACCTGCTGCCAGCTGATTGCAATAGAGGATGCAAAGTTTTAGTATTGTGTGTGGTTATTCTGAAAGGCTACTCCGGCCAGGGAGCAGAAACGTCAAAACCCTTTACTATCAACTTCCCAAGAGCCATTACATATGGAAATCTATCAAAAAGGGAAGGAGCAAAGACAGGAGCATGAATGTATCCACCGCTGGTGCCCCATTCCTTCCAGTCAGGTTGATCTCGTAACCCACATATCTGAAAGGATGGCAAACAGCTAACGCAACTTACATGTGTGCCTTGAGATTTTGAGTTACTTATGAGAAATGCTTGGGGAAACAATGCATATGTGTAAAAACATCCTTTAGATAAAATATCAAAAGGTCTTGGCAGGGGTCTGAGGTGGCCACAATCTCCTGTGGTGATAACCCTAAATAACAAGAGTTATTTAATCACCACCACCACCCGTCTTGTTTCTTCTCCTTCGTTGGAGCCCCCTCCTCCTGTTTTTCAGCAAAGACCAAGTGGTTTTCCTCTGCTGGCAAAAAGGGAACTTACTTTCAGATGACTTTGCATGAACAGAAGGCAGCTGCTGTTCCTTGGGCTTCTCACCACACCAGTACGATTTCATAAAGGGGAAGTACCAGGGTCTGGGGATGCCATACTGGCCTAAAGAATAGGCAAAAACAAATTTAGGTAAGAAAGTGGGTTGGAAACATTTGCAGAATTTCTCAAAATGCTCGATCTGGGCCATGGCACAAAACACTTCTCCGGGTTGAGAGGTGAGACTATCCACCTCACCTGTCACTCCCACAAGGGATTATTCAAGAACCACCACATATGATTTGAGTGCAAAGGTGGAAAGAGGAAACATCAACACCAGGCTCTTTCTGTTTGCGATCCAGTATTGGAAACTGGCTTCTTTTAGCCAGCGTTCAAATATGTTTCATATCTTTTGAGAATTTCCGTTTGTAGAAAAGCACCTGAATTTGCCCCAATTTGCCCTGCTTTTATGTAGACTTAAATGGAGAGATTTGGCTTAATTGGGAGGAAGGAGCAGGGTTCTCACTTCTCCTTTTTAGAAAGCAAAGGGACACAAATCAACTTAGCAAAATTAGGAATGCTTGAAATCGACTTAGCCAGTAACATACCCTGCAGGCAATGTATGCACAGCTGCATCAAAAGGCACAGCTAAATTAACTATTGCAAGAAATGTTGCTGTTCACTGAGCTGAACAGACTGAAGAAAAGACAGGTCCGGTGGGAAAATCCTAATGTTATAAAATCTGAAACACTTCCTCAGAAAATGAGATCTGCCACTTATAGTGCAGTCCATGTTTACTCAAAAGTAGATCCTACAACCATAAATAGAACTCACTTCTAAACTACTTTGTACAGGACTGCAACCGAACCCATTTGTGCTTCAACTTCTTAAATCAAGTAACCATCACCCTAGTTTTGGGCAATTCATCCAATCTGTGAAATTGCCTGGCTTGTGCAATTCTGTATTTAAAAAAAAAACACCAGGCAACTTTTTACATACATTATTATTCTTGCCAATGCTGAAAAATCCTGTCCAAACTACCAGGAAATTCTTCCCCGTTCTTGCTACTGAGGTGATGGATTTTGCAATTCCTTGTTCCTTCTGCTACGAGACATGCAGTGATTCACAGTCTTATTTCAAGTGCGCACTAGGAGTCGGTGTGAATTGCTCAAGCAATCAGATTGCCAAATAAACCCCCATAGTCTCATAGTGGCTAAACTGAGTTTACGCGCAGCCGCTTTAATCCACTGCACACAATTTGGCTATGAGCGTAAATATACATGTGATAATAACAGCCCTGAGTTGGACTGGAAAAGAAGAAATTGCTCCTGTTGCCATGTACCCTCCACTCTACAGCTGTTGCTGTAGCTGCCGTGAAGCCCCCTCACCCCAGGATCACCTGGATAAGCAGCCCCAAAGTAATGGGGGCAAGATCAAGGGAGATTAAGGCACAATTCCTTACCTGGAAAGACAGACTCAATATACCAAGTCATGATCCCATAGAGCAAAGTATCAAACAACATCATAGATGTTGATGCAATCAGGTTGAAGTCATTTTCTTCCTTGGGGCTTTCAAAGACATTTTCCCACTGCACCCCAATCCCTTGCTCTTCAAGCAGAGAGACATACTCGCAGCCATACCCCAAGGCTACAGGAGAAAGCAGGCTCTGGAGAGAAAAGGTGCCAATTAACGTCCTTGGTCCATTCACTAATTATATACATGGGGAAAGCAATGGGTAAGAGCAGCCCCCTCAACAGTCATAACAGTCAAAGTGTGGGATCCCTATGTAGTAACAGACTAGCATGTGCCCGTTTGTATATTGTTCCAGTCAGCATGAGATCCTAGTGTAACAAATGGCATGCTTCTTTACTGCCTGAACATCACCCATTCAGTACTCAGGATGGTAATCAGACAGTGGAGAAGCCATACAACTGGCTCCACTCCTACCATCTCAAAATTCTCCCCTTTCTCTGCTATTAATACATGAATCCTGTTTCCACTTAATTGTTAAAAATTCCAAAAAAAGAGAAAGAGTGCCTGAAAACCACATAACGTGATGGAGAAAGGCACATCTAAACAAAGCATTTGAGGGGCTGCGGGGGTGGGGTGGGGAGAATTGGATGGGGCCCAGATAATCCTCTCGGGAACACTAGTGGATACATTTTGGGACTCTTCTGTTCAAGGGCATGCCCATTACGGAGGAGCCCCCTGCTGTCCTCGCAGCCCATACCCTGTTCACTCACCGCAAAGATTTTGATAGAGAACGTGATGTGGTCCTCCCAGGCCATGCATAACACAAAAGGCAAGTACAAGGTGAAATAGATGATCCCGCCACAAGCTGCTGCCAAGTTGGCTTTGGAGAAGAAGGTGCTGATGAGGAAGCACTGCATGATGGTCACCATGCCGAAGACAGACAGGAAAACGAACACCACACTGGGATCACTGTAGGGCAGCAGGTTTCCTTTCTGGAGGAAGAGAAAGCCCACAATTATAAGCACTTATTAACTCTGAGCCAGTTCACACAGTAATGTCAACAGGAGCCTCATCCTTGTCAGCATCACTTCTGAGATGCTTTTACTGTATAAGGTCCAGAAGCCATTTGCAATCTTTCTTGGGCCTTTAAGAGCATAGCTTCCCTACACTGGTTTAAAATATTTTTGGTTGGGGGAAAAAATCATAATTACTCCAGAAGCCTTCGCTGTTATACTGAAGGGCCATCCTCTCCTCCATCCCAGCCTGTTTCAGGTCCATAAAGCAATTGGAAGGGTCTCCTCCTGCCTAATGTGAACAAGTGAGGATCACGTATCTGTTACTGATTGGTATTTGTGTATGTGTTTGTGTGTGGCGAGTGTGCAGGATCTCACCTCCCTGACCAATGTACTTTCAAGCATCAAACCTATGCCAGCTATTCCATCCGTGGCCATTCATGGTACCTGCTCACAGAGAAGGACCCTATCTTTGAACTCCTTGTGTTCTTTCCGAAGACATGCTAGAGGACCATTTGCTTGCTTGCCTTTTTAAAATTTCCAAGGAATCCAACCAAACCTTTCAGCCTCAAAAAAGTCTGTGAGGTAAGGGAGTCTGAAGGAGAATGACTTGGCCATGGCTGGAGCTTTCAGCTGAGCAGGAAGCTGAACCTGGCTTTTTCCACACTGAAAAATGAACACTTCAGCCCCTGTACCATACCAACTCTCCCATAGTTTAACTAAATCAGCTGGTCCAGAGCATAATCATGGGTTTTCTATGCAACAGGATCTTTGTTGCTAAGATCTTTTGCCCTGCCACCCATCCTGGTATGGATAACTTCAAGGCCACATGATTGGTCACCTAAGTCCACCAGTGTGTTGATATGATATGCCTTCCGGTGGCTCCTTCTGCTGAACCCAAATCATGATTTGAAGGAAAGAAAAATGTATTGGAGGGCAAAGTGCAAGCCACACTGATTGCAAAAGTCAAGACTAATTAGTCCCGAATAACTGACTAATAAATAACTCTATGCGGTATGGAGCCTGTACAAGCCCAACTCACTTCCGTAGGTCACTAGAAATGGGTGAGAGTTCTGTTTGGTTCACATTTTAAGGTGGACTGAACCAATTAGGGGGAAATTCTCTCAGAACCACATGAGAGAAATTAAACTGGTTGGGGAAACATACTGACTGGAAGAAAGCTATACCAAAAAGAGAGAGACAGACATAGATAAGGAAAATGCACACAAAAAATAATTCTGGATTCTCAGCTTATAAAAACAACATCAAAGTGACATGAAAACAAATTTGAACTGATAATCCACAGAACGGAGAGAAAATGAAATAAGACACATTTGTTAAATCCTACCAATTATCAAGGAACACTCCCCTCTTTCCTTTCTTGGTGCAGTTTCAGAACAGTGACACTGGGGTGCAGATGGCATTAGGGTGGATTTCAAAAGCCTTAAGATGTTCCCAGTTGCTGGTTATAAAACATGGGGGTGGTGCAAAATGGCAACTCCCAAAGAAAAATCAAACCTATTATTGATTGGCGCTAAAGTGAGGAATTGCTGATGTAGACTGGCGACTTTTTGCTATGTGTCTGAGTAAGAGGTGCCAGCTCTTCTGCCCCACATAGCCCTGGTTTACTCGACCTCTTTAGGTCACAGCCTGAGCTACTTTGGGTTACATATTTACCCAGCATTCTACAAAAGGTCCTTAGACATTGCGATTAAACCCTGTAGAAAGAAGCAAGCCAGTGCATGCAAAAGGGTCTTGCAGAAGGACTAGGGAAGGCAAGGCACAGGAACAGAAGGCGAGAAAGCCCCCTCAAAAGGGGAGATGGGGCAGAAGACAAGAATTTTGGCATCTGTTTTGCTTTCCCTTTGTGCCCTCTGCGGCAAAGAAGGCAAGAGGCCCCAGGGGAAAAAACCTCCCAGCTCTGATATTCCAGTTGGGCAACTCAACAACATTAAGCAGCGGTTGTAAAAGGACCTCATTTTCAGTGTGGCCACTCTCTCTAGCGTCATTCATCCTACACAAAGTCAGTGAAAAGGTTTGCACCTCGACTCCCATAATCTGGTTCCCTGCCCCTGCCTTATATATTCAGCTACGGTGTTCAATCGACTGTGACGACGTAGCATCCCGTCAGCAAGAAAAGAGGCCAAAAAGCGAAGTCCACGTCACCTTGAGGATCACTGTCAGGAGCCCTGCACTCATGAGGAGTGGGATGTAGCTGCTAATGAACCAGCTGAGCCACAGGATGCCATTGTCCAGGCCCATGATCCTCATTGTTTCTTTCAACCGGGCTTCCTTCTCATACACAATCCCTTTGATAATCACGGCCACAGAATAGATCCAAGCCAGAGTCATGAAGAGGGGCATCGACCGGCTTGTGACACGGAGGAATCTGAAAGGGGAAAGGGGAAATTACCTAGGATTGACACTGGGTTCACAAGAGACAAAAGAAAATGCTTTCTAATTGAACATGTGATTTGCTTCCACAAAGAATGAATACGGCTATCAATTTAGATAGTCTTCAGCCTACCATCCATGAGTCTGTCTGTCCGTGGCTACCAGCACAGCCAAACAGAGAGCAACTGTTTGGTGACAATATTGGGGCAAATGAGATGAAATCATCTCCATGAGGCTCTCAGAGCATCTGCACACTCACAGCAGGAAACAGAATGTTGTTTGTCACTTCTCCATTCTAAACCAATGCTATCTGGCACCCAGGGTATATGCACTGCTATAATAAACCTATCTGTCATCTTCTTGGAGACATTTGCCTTCACTCTGACTTCCACAAAGAATGAATGCAGCTATCTTCTTGGAGACATTTGCCTTCACTCTGAGATGGTCAAAGGAGGCTTCCAAGAACACTTTCCTCCTTGTGAATCTTAATGCTACCCAGAGCCTCCATCAATGAGAGCTGAATATAGTGGTGCCTTGATTTACTATTGCCCCACATTACGACGAAACCACATTACAATGATCTTTTTGCGATCACAATTACAATCACAAAAAGATGGTCTGAATGGTTTTTGTTTTTTGTTTTGCTTTGCCATGATCAGTTCCCTGCTTCAGGAACCGATTTTTTGTAAAACGACGATTTTCCTCCAGCTGATCGGCAGTTTCAAAATGGCCGCCGGGTAAATAAAATGGCTCCGCGCTGTTTTCTGTGACGGATTCCTCGCTGCACAGGCACCGAAAATGGCCGCCCTATGGAGGATCTTCACTGGACGGTGAGTTTCCAGCCCATTAGAACGCATTGAAGGGGTTTCAATGCGTTTCAATTGGCTTTTTATTTTCGCATTATGACGTTTTCGTTCTACAGCGATTTTGCTGGAACGAATTAATGTCGTAATGCGAGGCACCACTGTACATGCCACTCAGCATGATGGAGAACATAACTTTTTAAAATATAGTGATGGTTAATAGATGCAGAGAGATTACTCCTGTGGGTGTTTCTGGTTCTGCCATGATTCAGAGCGATACTAGGGGCACACTCAGCCCTATGACGATCTAGGCCCAAAGGTGTCACTACAAATCTAGGGGTTGTATATAGTCCTCTCTTGTCTTGAAGAGTTTACCAGAAATAAAGCAGGCTAGAGCTCGCTGATGGGGGAAGTACATCCAGGTTCCTGGACTGCTTGTTCCTACACTGCGTTGTGTGTAGTACAGTTGATGAGCTCATCACAGATGATAATTTTTTTCATATATTTACCGTATTTTTCGCTCCATAAGACGCACCTTTCCATAAGACGCACCAATTTTTTAGGAGAAGAAAACAGGAAAATATAATCTGTTTTCTTTGCTCCATAAGACGCACAGACTTTCCACACCCCTGTTTTGTGGGAAAAAAGTGAGTCTTATGGTGCAAAAAATACAGTATTTTCCTTCATTTCAATTTATGCTGCCTGTGCAAGCATCACAGCCTAGACCCCACCATTTTTGAGAAGCAGTCATACCCAGGGAGCCACAATTTGGGCTCAGGCTACCTTAAAGAAAATTCAGCTCTGCCAGGAGCCTTTTCTTTTACAGACTAGCACTCACATGTCATCCACGTAGCAGGGATAGGGCATCTGCTGAACATAGACACCTGTCTTCTTCTCGGAGCCTGTCAAAGTCCGGATAATTGCCTGCTCTATGACATCTTGCAGATAAGCAAAGCCTCCCCAGATGTAGCGCATGTCATCAAAAGGATCAGCCCGAGGACCTGGGTCCCAGTACCTGCAGCAAAGCAGAAGAAGAATTTGCTACTGAAAATTCTCATCTCAGGTTGAACAATCATGAACTTTAAAAAGACCCTCTAAGCAATACTCACCCATCCTTAATCTTGTTTGTCCTTTCCACACTGTCAATGTCCATCCGTATCTTGTACTTCACGTGCTGGGGTAACATCTTGCTGCTAGGAGCAACTTCAGGGAACACAATGCCTGCCCAGAACCGCCTCTGATCTAGCAGCTCCATGGACTTGTTGATCAGCCGCCCCTCATTCGGCATGGCTTCCAGTTTGTCTAGATTGATACACTGCAAAGAGGACAGACAACTTTATTTGAAACCAAAATTTTGGAAGACCAAATTATAAAAGCATGCCAAAGGCACATGGAGTTCAAAGTTCAGGCAACTTACATTTTTTGGAATGCACCAAACCAATCGTTTTCTGGTCTAACCACACTGTTACTATGTGTTTTTTACTATTTTCATAATATTTTATTTGTTTTTTTGTTTATTTACCTATATAACATGTATTTGATACTCTCAGCCAAGAAGACGTCATCAAATATACATCAAGAACCAACAACCAACTGCTACATATCATTATTCCAAAATCTCCTCTAGGTGAAGAGGACTAATTGCCACTGAAGACGTAAGGAACAGCAGAACTTCTTTTTTAAAAAATCTGCGTCACAAGAAGCCACAAGGCAACTTTTCCAAAAGCATCTGGGCCACAGACTCATTGTTCCACTCTTTGAGCATACGAGTTCCAGCCTCTCTACACAAGCAAACTAAGGAGGCCCAGGGTTTATTTTTTGCCAAACAGCCCCCACCCTCAAACCCCAACGTTGGCCCAAAACAGCCCTTAGAATGGGAACACACAGTCTTTCTGGTATCAAAGGCCATGAGTGAAGTTGACTCAGGATTCAAGAGTCACATACAGTAGGCGTTAGAAGATGGATGTGTACCCACTCACGAGAAACCTTCTCTCCTCACCAGAAAAAACGTAGACAGTCTCTCTCCATCTGCCTCCCCTTCCACAGAAACAGCAATCTTTATGAGGACCTCTGAGGAAGAGATGATGGAAGCGTTTTCCATCCCCTTTGCCAGAGACCCTCACACTTTGATTGTGATCAACGTTTCAGGCAATGGCCAAAGGAGAAACTGCTTCATTAATGATGTGGGAGTCAGGACACCAATGGGTGGCCACAATTAAGGCCTTGAGGCCCAGAGGTGGTGCACCCCCTGCTATTTCCCTACCAGGTTGTTCTACACATCAGCAGGTATTTTACCTGTGAATCAACTTGGGCAAAGCAAAAGATGGATAAATGAGATCAAAGTAGGCTTCTAAAACCAACAACTCAAGAAATATCTAATTAAAAGTAGAAGACTCACCTCCATATAGCGGGATATGCTCATAACAATAAAGTCAGTTTCATTGAAGGCCTCTCGCCAGTTGTAGCCTGAGCCATTCACAGGGTGAACATCTTCTGGGTGCTTTGCCAAGAACACAGAAACTTTCTCCATGGTCCAACTTGTACCTACCAAGTGGTGGTTCCAAAAGAGTCTGTTCTTCAGTAGCGTCTAAGATTAGCAATGGGGTGAAGAACATCAGTTAAATCTGCTCAGAAGCCACAGAAAGAAATTCTAACAGCAATTTGCAGAGCTACAGTCATCTTCACATACCACAACCAAAATCAAGTGGCATTGTTACCTGACTGGTATCCAGGTATCAAATTGGAGGCAAGTAACAAGTGAGGTACCATAAGTAGAAAAAGCAAATTTCCACAAATCTTTATTAGATATTAGACAAATTTCCATTTAAAAAAACACAACAGATTTCTCAAGAATAAAAGAGCTGTTGTCTCAGTCAAGATCTCTCTATAATTTGCAAAAAAATTAAAACAATGCCTTTTGTTTTTCTTTTCTTTTCAGGTGAACAAAATTTTGTTCCTAATCTACCTCCAACATCTCTCAATAGAACTCATCTTATGTGGAACAGGCCACACCTTTTAGTAAAATGTTAATGGGTTTCCATTTTGTCTACTGGGGCTCGTTTTGACAACAACTGAGTTTAAGGTCCTGATTGCCATTTAGCAAACCGGTTAGCTTAATGAAATCCAAATGCCAAAGTGACTTGCTCGACCACATCTTATTTCACTGGATTCTACTCTTCTAGACATGGTCCAAGATGAATGTCAGCTAACCTTCAGGGTCTGATTTGGGATATGGCCGGGTCAGCCAAATGCATCACTTTTTCAATAAAAGCCAAATTTCTTTGCATAGCTCACATAGGCATAAGGCTACAGCTCTGATCACAGAAAGGCCTTGTCCTATAGCAATGTCATTAAACAGGACACAATTTAGGTTTGCGTGTATGTGGTGAACACACACCTTTATGTTCATCTCACAATGTTCAGAGAAGGAATCTTTGTGTCACTATTTCTATTCTCCCCCACCAGATGGAAGCCTTGCACAGCATTTTTAGTAAATCCAGTTGCTCCTCGTTGTCCCCAACGAACAAAGAATGCACTACTGAAAATTAGGGAGGCTTATGGAAAAGAAAGAAAGAGTTTCAGCTACTTCATGGTTAAGTAGAAATAGCTTAGTACAAAGGGCTCTCTCAACAGATCTGGACAGAGGCGTTGACCAGGCACAACAGGGTACGAATGTAACCCCAGCACAGGGATCATTCCGTAAGGTAATGCCAAAGATGGTGCTTCACACACAGCAAACCAAGGACACTAATCAGGCAATTTTATGCCTGTCTATGCAGAAAAGTAAGTTCCACTGAGTTAATGGGATTTATTCCCTGGTAAGCATATATACAACAGCAACCTAACTGGTGCTCAAGAGTTTATAAGCAGGCCTGGTTCTGTTAACAAAACAAAACAAAGTAAGGCAAGGCAACAACCAAAAAGGAAATATAACTCTTCTATAATATATATTTTAAAAAAACTCTACAATTTATATTTATACAGTGTATGGATACAAGGTATAAAAGGATTCAGAGAGCAAGTTGAGACATCACAGTAACCAAACAGTGCTTTCTAATGATCTTTACAAGTCAATGATCCAATATTGCCTAACTTGCCCTTAGGGAGGCTGAAGTGGCCCACCTCAGCTGAGGCGGGAGGGGTATCAATAGGAACTAGTGGGAAAACATCAGTCATCCAGCTTATTGTTATGAGCTTGGCATCATAAAAGAGTAAGTGACTCAAGCACCCAAACACTACATAAAATGTATGGCCATAACAAAGAACTTCTAAGAAAGATAATCCTCTGCACTGAGAGTGCATTTGTATTCCTTTTCATAGTGAAGCATGTATGGGGGGCAGCTAATGAGGTAAGTGCTTTACTATTTAAAAACACTGCACACAGATTGGCCTGAGAGGGACTTCTGCGATGGAGGGAAAACTCAAGATACACGCACATACAAAAAAATGGGAATTTTATGAAATTAAAAGAAAAAGAAAAAAAACTGTGTCATGGAACTCTGGAAGAACAAAGACAGGGTTTAGGCATAAACCCTTAATGGTTGGGCAGTCATTAGGCTGGATAAATGTTAATTTTCCCCCTCCCCAAACTTTACCCTTTTCTCTGGTTTATAGTACTAAATTAAATGGGTCAAACTGGAGGCCTGCAACTACCACTGGCCTTCCTGAAACAGGCTGTGTTAAGCTGGGTGTCCCAGTCACTACCACCCACCAGATGGGTAGCCCCAGGAATCACCCTGAACCCAAGAAAAAGGCACAGTTGCTCCCCATAGTACGGCTGTTTTTAAAATATGGGGGAAGCTGAACGAAGAACTACAATTTTTTTTCTTCCCTCCTCCTCAAAACATCATCCACTGGCTTCTTTCCAAATAGAAGTGAAGATGTCGAACCTAGTTACTGTACTGGTGAAAAATAACGGAACAGTAAGAGCTTAGATTTTCAGGTGTTCCTATACCTCCTCCTCCCTGCAGTCACCCCCTCCATCTGCTCCAAGGGGTTGGAAGACTTCTGCTGATGGAAGAAACTAATTAGTGCCCCATGATAATCTGATTAGCAAGATAATTTAGGTGTCAGCTGGATAGAACAACTGTCAAGTGGATGCACAGTTGGTTACAGAATCATACTCAGAGAGTGCTTATCAATGACTTCTTCTCAAACTTGGAGGAAGAAACAAGTGGGGTAGCACAAGGTTCAGTCCTGGAGTTAGTGTTTTTAAAGATTTTTATTAATGCTTTGGATAAGAGGGTGTAGGAAGCGCTTATCCAATTTGCAGATGACACAAAATTGGGTGGAATAGCTAATAACCTGGAAGACAGGAACAAAATTCAAAAGGATCTTTATAGGCTCATGCACTGAACTGAACAGAGATAAATGGAAAGTTACAAGATGGGGGATAGTTATCTCAGTAATACTTAAAGATTTTTATTAATGCTTTGGATAAGAGGGTGTAGGAAGCGCTTATCCAATTTGCAGATGACACAAAATTGGGTGGAATAGCTAATAACCTGGAAGACAGGAACAAAATTCAAAAGGATCTTTATAGGCTCATGCACTGAACTGAACAGAGATAAATGGAAAGTTACAAGATGGGGGATAGTTATCTCAGTAATACTATGGGTGAGGCACTGAACTAAACAGGGATAAATGGAAAGTTACAAGATGGAGGATAGTTATCTCAGTAATACTATGGGTGAGAAGGATCTTGGAATTGTTGTAGATTACAAGCTGAATATGAGTCAACAGTGCAATGTGACTACAAAAAAAGGCAAATGCTATTTTAGGCTGCATTAACAGAAGTACACTCTCCAAATTCTGTCAAGTATTAGTTCCCCTCTATTTGGTACTGGCTAGGCTTTATCTTGAGTACTTTAAGAAGGATGCTGAAAACTGGAACAAGTTTAGAGGAGGGTAATAAGGATGATTAGAGGACTGGAAACCAAACTTTATGAGGAAAGACTGAAAGAACTGGCTTGTTCATCCTTGAGAAAAGAAGACTGAGGGGAAAATAGGATAGCACTCCTCAAATACTTGAAAGGTAGTCACACAGAGAAGGCTCAGCATCTCTTCCCAATCATTTGGGAGTGTAAGACGCATAATAATGGGCTCAAGTTGGAGGAAGCCAGATTTCAGTTGAATATTGGGGTGCATGATAATGGGCTCAAGTTGGAGGAAACCAGATTTCAGTTGAATATTGGGGAAAACGTAACGTAACTATTCGAGCAGTATGTCAATGGAACCAATTACCTCAGGAGGTGGTGACTGCTCCAACACCTGCTCCATTCAAAAGAAAATTAAACAAACATGTGTCAGATAGACTTTGATTTGTGTTGAAATGGGGGCTGGACTCAATGGCCTTACAGGCATCTTCATTACTCTCTGATGCTATGATTCTTGCTTCCCCCACCCCACCCCCTGCAGGCTTTGTTTTCTTCCCAGGTCTTTTAACAGCACCTTAATACTTTTACCATTTTAAGCATCAACCTCCTATTCTCTGCTTTTATTGCCTTTGGGATTTGTTTCACTCTTTTAAGTTATTTTCAGCTCTGCAGGAAGAGGCAGTCTCAAGTTCTGGTTTTGCTTGCTATATTACTGCTGTTCTTAAAACCTTATATTGCAATTGTAATTTATTGATTTTCTATTACTTTAAATAGTTCAATTGTACATTGCCCAAAACACCTGTGTTACTGCTTCATGAACAAATGAAACAGTGAAGCATGCCTTGCGCTAATGCACTTTTGTTTTCCCGTGAGCTGAATACCTAGCTACATAACCAGCCCTTACCTCAGATACAACTTAGAGAGGGAATGTTTATTCCCCACATATGACACTGAACTTTTGGAATAATTGGTAGATTTTTATGATAATATTCACACTCCCCTTTCTGATTATTAATCAATTCTGGAAATGGGAAAGGAAGACCTAAACAACTGATTCTGTCCAGCTGAGGGGGGAAGGGGTCATATACCAGAGAAGCTGTCTTCCTTTCTGAAGCACAACTCCAAAGAAGACTAAGTATTTTAGTGTATTTTAAGAATGCTACCACCAGAGCACGTTTCCCACTGTCGCAACTGACCAGTTGTGTGGCTGCCAAGTGTGTCTCCTGAGGAAGCCGGCCAGAGAGATGTTGTTTCCTGACAGGGATGCAGCCAATAATGTGATGTTCTTCTCACATGGTCTGTTCCACATTCCCTTTTTTTCCTGAGAATTCGGGTGAGATGGCCTTTCCCTAAGCAAACTGAGTTGCCGTGAGCAAGCAGTGAATTAAACGAAACAACTGTGTCTCCCATCTAGATCTGAATGGGTTCTTATAGTTTCCAGGAGGAATATGTTTAGTGAAACCTTGATTAATGAATGTTAGTCCCTGTACTTTTCCTTCCACTTCCGTTCTGTACATTTCACGGCAGATACAAAATACAAAGCCAGGACTCCCAGTATTAACCTCGAGCACTCTGGCCACTATAAAACACTGGCTCTCCAACACCAAACACACAAACTGCACAGCTCTCTCTGGATTAGAAGGTTTTCAGCTGAGATTACAATACTAAAGGTCAAGATAATTGAATGTCATTATCCCAAACAGCTAATTAAATTTATCAGTCTTGTTCACAAAACTGGGGTAGTTATGGGAAGAACTATACTGGTTTCTTACATTACAGCAGGTGAGATAAAATTTAACCACATCTTTCCCTAGTTCAGAGCCCTGTATAATGTGACTACAGCAGCATTCAGCATAGCAGAATGTGAAGCCTGCCTGTACGTGAATATCCCCTTCATTTCACATTCGTCTCGGCCCTGTCCTTGGCAGATGTACAGTCACAGCAGTCTGGGACAGGGGTTGATTTATGCACCAGTTCTGAATCTTGCCTGAGAGGTGAACACTAACACAACAGCTTGTTTGGGCCTTCACAAAATCATGAAGAGAAATCATGAAGGAAAAATTGTTGTCAAAGAGAGAGAAAAAACTCTCTCCTCTTCCCCTCCCATGACACGGTCATGTTGTACAGTCAAGAAACGCCCCCTGACACAGACTTGGCATCAAAAAATGAGCTACAATTATATGTACAGCCTACAGGCCAAAGTACCAATGACAACTTTTAAAATACATAGATTTCAGTCACTTCTTGTAAATAGTCCATGAAAAAAGGAGAAGGAAAAAAAAACTAATTATGGCATGCTGACCCGGATTAGATCCATTTCCTGGCTCTTTTCCATGAACGTTCTTATCTTCGGCTTTATTTCTTCCCACATCCCTCCAAGATCACGGAAGACACCAAGCTCCTGGAATGTCTTGTTTACCTGACAGGATAGTGAAAGGGGCAAAGGTAACTGTGAAAATTACAAAACCAACAGAACAAACGAGCAAAAAGCAGTTCCCTATTTCCCTTCCACCCTAAAAAAATCAGCATTGGCTTGCTTTATCTCTCCAAAGCCACAATTCAACATTTTTTTCCGGAAGTCAATACACAGATATCCAGTCACCTCTTCCTCTCTGGGTGTTCTTTAGGAGTGTGCTGTTTTATGTTTTTGGACTGCAATTCCCATAATTCTCTACGAAGTCCAGAAGTTGCAACCGCATACCCAAATTGATTTTTTTTTAACCTGTACCATTAGCTTCTCCTGCTTTTATTTTTTGTTATTGATTTGGGTGGTGGGGGAACCACCATGGTGCTTCCTGGGAGTTGTAGTCTCACTGCCCATTAGAGGGCACCTCCAAAAGAACTACAACTCTCAGTTATCTTTCTCTTTAGGCCAGGGAAGCCAATAGTATAGGTAAAAGCCCCCAAAGACCTTCGCTAGAGGAGTGAAACCTACAATTGTGCTCACTGGGGTTTGGGAGCTGCAGCTCCCAGAATTCAGAGAGAATTCTGGGAATCGAAATCCACAAATACAAAAGAACACATTCCTAGTGTTGTTATTTTTTAAAGCCTAACTTTCAATGTTGAATTATTTTATTGGATTCCTGCTCCTCTGCTCACGGAGCACTAAGAAAGGCCTCCTTGATTTTTCCTTTGTTAGCAACTGTTGTGATGTATCCGTTTCTCAATGGTCTGCCTATAGACATCCATTATATTTCTGCTCCCAACGCATCCCACAAAATGATGTTTTTAATGATATAAGGTCATTCCAAGATGCATTGCGGTGGGAATTTATGGCTGCCTTCAGTTAGACACTGCTGCTGCAGCCATCATTAACCAACCAACGCCACCCAGTCTCTTAAATACTTTCATCTCCCCCCCCAATGGATATTGCCTTCAAGTCCCCTACATATTTGTGCTGGCAACAACAAAACAGAAAACAACCAGCCAAATGTTGTCAAGTGATAACCTTTATCTCAGCTTTGGTCCCAGAGCAGCTACTGCCTGAAATCCTTAACTCAAGAAATGGCGAACAGAGGAGATCAACCAGTGTTCCTGAGCTGCGGCCACTTTCCAATATGTACACAGTACCTTTCAGTTACCTTTTCTGCACATGCTGTGATAGTCTGGTAGCAAAAGGACAACAGATGGCCTTTTCCTGAAACGGGTGTCTGTGTTCTTACCTCAGACATGACTGTTCTTGTTGCTGGTGTATCAGGGGTATATAAGACCTTGCCAACCAGCAGCGGTTTCAGGGCCCTCCATATAATCCTAGAGAGAGGACTGGATTCCAGTATCTTCATTTTGTCATTGCAGTAAGGTGCTTTAAAAGAAACATTTGTTGTTTTTCAGTGCTTGCAAAAATTAGACATATAACAACTTCCCTTTTTGACCCCAGAGAGTCCACTAAATACACAGAAGTCCCATCTTCCATTTTTATGTAGTTTCTTACAACTTTGACAAGAAAAGGGACAGGGCTCCAATAAACTGTTAAAATTAAATACGTAGACAGCGACCTCACTGGATTCTACTTACTGGTGCTGTTATCATAGAAATCAGTGGCATCATCTTCTGTGCTGTTGCTTCCAAAGAAAGCTTTGTAGTTGTGGTCTTCGTACCAGTTGAGAGACTTGATCTGCAATCCTCCTCCCTCAGGGTGGCCGCAAACAATTCGTGATACTGACTGATATATCTCAGGAGAAGAAACAGTGGTGTTCATGTTGGTCAGCAACATCACCTCCTGCCTCATGTCGCTCCAGCTTTTTATACTCACCAGCTGCCATTCACAAGAAAAGATGAAAACTTAAGGAAGACTCTTCTACAGATTAGTACTCATGGGTTCACACTCAGTGCCATTGCTCACTACAAAATTACATTCAACCAAAAATCTCTTGGCTCAAAAAACAATACAAGTTGCTACCTAGTCATACAGAATGGCATCCTAAATATAATTTAGCTATCAAAACAACAACATGCAACATCTTATTGCAATCCCTTAATACTAATTCTTCTTAAGATCCCAAATTCTCTATAACATTATTTTAAGTACAAGTAAATTTTGGTCCCCATTCAAAATCCCCATGCAGTGTTTTCATGTGGTGTTTCTTAAGCTATATCCCTTTTGTCATTGTTTCTGGTGGAATACAGATAATTCAAAAACTGTGTCTTCATGTTGCTTTGAAGATTATATTGCAATAAAACATAGCCATGGTGACCACCCTCAAGCGAACATATGACGAAAAGTGCTGCAGACTGTATCATATGTACCTAAAAATGTAAGTGGTTACATACTAACCGCCTATGTTGGTTCAAAACCAGTACAACATTGTTTTTCTTTCAAAGAATGATTCATAATGGATACATGTAAATATTGTATATATATATTCTCCCACAGTAGAATGTCTATCATAATGCAGGAATGATCTATGGAAAATAGCAGGCCATGAAACTAATATTGTACTTAGAGATAATTTCTGCCCTAGAGATGGGTATGAACTAGCAGTTTGACAGTTTCTGCCAATTCATTTTTCATCCAAACATCTGTTTGGACAAAAAAAACAAACTAGCACAAACTTCATAATGGATACATGTAAATACTGTATATATATATTCTCCCACAGTAGAATGTCTATCATAATGCAGGAATGATCTATGGAAAATAGCAGGCCATGAAACTAATATTGTACTTAGAGATAATTTCTGCCCTAGAGATGGCTATGAACTAGCAGTTTGACAGTTTCTGCCAATTCATTTTTCATCCAAACATCTGTTTGGACAAAAAAAACAAACTAGCACAAACTGCCAAACCAATGATTTGTGCCCATTTTTATAGATTTAGAGAAACAAACTGTGTGTAGATTCATCTGCAATTGGTCATCCAGAAGAGGGAGTCACATGGCTTATGAAGACTTTGGAAAAGTTCCTAGCCCCATTGGCTGGGCAGCCTCTGAGTCCAAAAAAGTAGCATTTCCAAACTTTTTGTATGAACTGCTGTATGTTCAGGATGTTGAAAAGGCATTCATGGCATGTTTGCAAAATGACCATCACTATGGCAGGCAGGGAATTTTCTTCATTCCCTAGCACTTAACGGGGGCTCATAAGGATTAAACACTCTTGTCTCAGCAACTTCACCTTAGGTTCCTGCCATTTTCAAAACTTGACTGTAACAAAGATATATGGTTAATACTATATGCGTATACCTATGGAAGGGAAAGAGTGCATTTCAGGGTCTTTTGGGCCATCTGTCTTGTACACCAACACTTCCTCCCTTATATGAGTTACAGAGCCTTCTGTCACTACAACTGAGCACCCAAGGGTAGCACTTCTGCTTTGCTACACATGTAAGGAAAAATAAAGGGATGCAATCAGGAATGCCACGTGGGTGGGAGGTAAACGATCCCAACCCGCTGCTGAGTCTCACCACAGAGTGATGGGATCATATTGGAAACTATGTTTTTGTATGGACATTTTGACTGTAATCTACCTAGTGGGTATTCCCAGCCCAGCATGCAAATCCTCCGAACCAAACCTAACGCCCAAACTGCTTCCTCTTGTGTTCAGAAATACTGATTTTCCATGAAAAAAAATATGGAATGTTTTCCCCCAAAGGAATAGAGTTCATTCATCCATAGTCATAAGAGTTTTCTCTCTTACACATACACATGTCCAAATATTCCTATCCTCCAGGTAAAAGAATGGGGCAAAATATCAGAAATTAATATACCAAACTAACAAGGAGGTAATTCTGTTTACTCCCTAAGACATCCTCAACCAACCTGGTTCTCTTCCACTGTCCCTTTTGCACTGGATGACAGAGAGAAGAATCTGAAAAAAAATTATTTTTCTGTGGAGGCAAAGACCTGAAGCTCATGTGATGGCAGGAGAGTACAAATTACAAATACATCCAAGTAAAGAAACACTGCAGCTACTGAAAAATATGACAGAGTGATGATTAAGTCACATTCCAAGTCACAACCCCCTTCCTCATATTTATGTTTCCCCTTCCTTCTAAGAAACTTTGGGCTAGTCCATTTTATTCTCAGAATACCCCTGTGAAGCAGGCCAGTAGAAGAGATTGTGGGTTTTCCTCCCCAGCGACTCAGCTTTGTAGCTGAGTTTGAACTTAGTGCCTTGCAATTCAAGTCCAATACAGCCATGATGTCACCCTGGTTCTCGGTATCTTCCCTTCTGTCTATTCTTCTTGTTCTGAAGGATGATGGTCTGCGGCTTAAAGGAGGTGGACAGGATGCAGCCTCAGAAGGCATTATGACATTCTGATAGTTCTGTCACCCCTGCTGTCTTAATCTGCCATTTTCATTTAAAGGAGGAACTGAAATAATAAAGGACTTTGGGGAAATCTGACACCGTTGTTGTGACTGTACATGAGCTGACAACCGTACTAAAAAAAGAACACACCAAGTCTTTAAACCTGAATGACAGTATACAAGGCAATTGCTTTCTGAGCAAAGGATTTTGAAAACTCTGATTGCAATCCAACTTCTTTTTCATTCGTTTGTCCTTCTAGAAAATAAGACGTCTTCAAAATAAGTAAGAATTGGATTGTCACACAGGTAAAGAAATCCTGACCCATTTGCTGCACAAATTTTAACAGAGTATTCAAATCAATGAATTAGTTTATTAACTGATTTATTAATTCTGCTAGAGATGGCAATTCTTTGCACAATTACCCAGGCCCCACTGAACACAGTGAAACTTATCAGTAATAAAACATTGGCAGGATGGTGTTGCACATTATACCCCTGATAATTACACACACACACACAGAGAGAGAGAGAGAGAGAGAGAAGGAGAAGCGGAGAAGCAAAACTGGGTATGTATAGAAACATGCTAGTAAAAATTCAGATAGTGTCAATAACCTAAAACCTCATTCAGATGACTTTTTTGAATGAACAATGCAAACAATTAGCTTTAGGACATAACTGTGTCCAGCCAGCACAACCAGAAACAGTGCAATATTCAGTCAGCATCATTCACTCATTAACTAGTGAGAATTATTCACTCATTCAAAGAGGGCATCAGCTTATCTTTTAGCACAATGTAAGAGTGTAATACAAACTTCAGTATATTAATTTTTTTCTAGCAGACTGTGGAACAGACTTTCGTGTTTAGAAGACTCATAAGAGTGATTATCAGGAGTTGTTAATCCAAACAAAACAACCGTATTGCAGCTGCCAATTGCTGACTGCCCCAGTCCAAACAGTTCTAGGTAGACTAAAAGATCAAGACTATGAGGTTTTCCTATTTTCAGATCTACCTGTGAAGGTGGCTTAGATGTGCCTTTTACCAACTTAAATATGCTAGTTACAGCCATGTCTAGACATTGCAGATTTTGCCTCAGTTCCTCAAAAGCCTAGTCCCATTCTGGCTTGATTACTGTCATACACTTTACATGGGACTACCCTGGAAAACAGTTCAGAAAATTCAGCTAGTGTAGAATGCAATGCAACAGGAGCTGGTGGGGCAAAGTGCTTGGGCCATTTCATACCAATTCCACATAAGCTATCTTGACTGCCTATTGCTCTTAAATCTAACTGAAGATGCTGGCATTGCCCTCCAAAACTCCTGACACCTCTCCCTGAACATTAAGATCAGCTACGGCTCTATTCACCCACAGGACTAGTTACGCTGGTGAGCATTAAGGACAGAACACCTTGGTTTGGACACATATATACCGAGTTCCCTCCCCTTGAGAGATACTATTAACTCCTTCCTTTTAAAAAAATTCAGACAGACCCTAAATAAATTTTTAAAGCCTCCTTTAAATCAAGTTTACAAACATGTAACTTAAAGACAGATATAAAGGTCTTCTAATGGGGTAAGCAGCATGAAACAGAATAGTTGTATTGCTCTTTGTGTTTTATTATTAGAAGTGTGAATGTTGACACTTCTTTAAAAATGTGGTGTTATGTCACTTTGGAAAGACAGTTGTATTTTGAAAAGTGCTATTCACAGTCATGAAATAAGGACAATAAAACAACAGAATCTAGAGCTATAGGCTCTAGATTCAGCACCACTACTTACTGATCTTCTGGCAACACTTGACTTCTTCAAATAACATATTCTAAAGAAGACACTGCAACTTCTCTTTCCTATTGTCCTATGCTGTCAGATGCTCTTAATGAGTCAAGTAAATGAGTAACAGAATGGCAGGGCGATATGTGGGAACTGAAAGTGGGTCTCTATCATCATTTGCAGCCATTATTGTCACTTGCTGCTAAAGTCACACTGAAGCTTTCAAACGCAGGAGGCCTAGTTCATAAGTTACTGTCTGAAAGAGACCCATGGCCTAATATCTGAAGGTTTCACGGCATCACCAATGTGTAAAGCAGGAAATTCAAAGTTTTATGCAGTGAGAGCCTCATAAGATGGATTTTTCCATAACTCTCTCCTGCTCCCAGCTGCTTGGTTTTAGTAAGTGTGCCTAGCTTCATACAGAACTGGTAGGTCAAGGTTGCCACCTGGCTCTGAATGGTTTTTATAGCCCCATGCTAAGCTTGAGCCTTTGGATATAGGCGATTTAAAATTTGCATACATTTAAATAGATTAGTATATGCACATAAGTAGTGTCTGGAGGCTTTACAGGCCCCCACCTACTTACCCCCAGACAGATGGTAGCACTACTAACTCAACACCCACCTAGAGAGATTAAATAAAGGCACGAGGCCTCTATTCCTATGTGTTTTTGTTACAGAATATTCAGCAAACCATACCATGAAAAGCAACATTTGGTTGTGTCCTTAAACACAGACTTCATGCTGCACCCTGCAGAAAGCCCTGAGGCTTGTTTTGTTTTTCTCCCTGAATATTAAAAGGGATAGAGGAAAGCTACAGGCTACTGCTGGTGACAACGGCCAAAGAGAAGTCACATTCCTTAGCAAGCCCGCTTTACAGCCACATCAGCAAACAGAGTCACATGCTTCTGATGATTTATTATTTTTATATCAGACAAGAAAAAGAACAAAACACCGCCAGCGCTGACATGATGTAACAGGAAACAGCTGTAACCAGAAAGCCGCAAGCAAACATTTAGGAAAGTTTAACAGACTGCAATTTTATCTTGATTCCAAGCAGATTCACACCAGAGGTTCTAAAATTCAATAGAAGACCACTGCCTTGCAGGAAATAACTATAAGGAAGGAGCGAAGCTGGGGAACCCTCCACTCTCCCAAACTTTCTTCTCTTCCCTTCCTTCCTCAGTAGAAGAAAAATCCTGTACAACCTCAAGTGACCTAACCCAGCTCAGCTGAGAGGTTACTGGAGTTCAGAGCTTAAAAGTTGCAACTGGCGAGCTTTAAAGGGGAAGGGAGGGGAGAAGGAAGGAACAATAGGCCCACTTGGGACTTTTTTTTTGCGGCTGAAAATGTCTGCTTTCTGAGGAAGGACAAAACAGTTTTTAAACATAGAAAAAATAGTTGTTGGGGGTTTTTCGGGTTCTTTGGCCGTGTTCTGAAGGTTGTTCTTCCTGAAGTTTCGCCAGTTTTTCTGTGGCCGGCATCTTCAGAGGACTGGAGTAGGAACTCTGTCCATGCTCTGTTGCTGTTTGTTGGATAGCTGAGTATTTATAGCTGTTGTCTTTTTTCAGGAGATAGAGTGATCAGCGTGTTTTTCCGTTGTGATAAGGAGGGGGAGATTGTTACTGTGATTGATGGGTGTCATTAGCTGGTCTTTTTTGTGCAATGATCCTTTTGGACATGAAATTCTATTTCAAAATACTGAAGTACTGGACAACACCAGCAACCACTATGTTAGACTGCACAGGGAAGCCATTGCAATCCATAAACATCAACAAAATTTCAACAAGAAGGAAGAAGGCCTAAAACTAAACGTGGCCTGGCTCCCAATATTGAAAAATACAACTCTGCCCAGCCACAAAGACCAGGGATCATTGCACAAAAAAGACCAGCTAACGACACCCTTCAACCACAGTAACAGAAAATCTCCCCCTCCTTATCACAACAAAAAACATGCTGATCACCCTATCTCCTGAAAAAAGACAAAACCTGTTCCCACAGCTATAAATACTTAACTATCCAACAAACAGCAACAGAGCATGGACAGAGTTCCTACTCCAGTCCTCTGAAGATGCCGGCCGCAGAGACTGGCGAAACTTAAGGAGAACAACCTTCAGAACATGGCCAAAGAACCCGAAAAACCCACAACAACCATCAGATCCCGGCCATGAAAGCCTTTGAGAATACATAGAAAAAAATACTTTATGTAGAAAATCAGCCAGATCATACAGCACTTGGGAAAAATTCTACAGCATAACATCCTCTTATTCAAAAGGCTTGCAAAACAAGGCTGGCTTCAGGTGCCCAAGCCAAGCCAAACTGGTAAGCCTCCATTCCCCACCGGTGTGTGTGTGTGTGTTATGTGTCAAGTTGTAAATGGCTTATAGGGACCCTAATAGGGCTTTCCAGGTGATATATTTAATGACTGGTTTTACCAGTTCCATCCCACCCCATGAGAGTTTCCATGGCTCAACAGGGATTTGAGCCAAGTTTCCCAAGTCCTGTCTGTCACTCTACCTTGGTACACCACATTGGGCACGTTTCCATTCCTCACTACTGCCACAGATTAGACCAGCTCTAGGTTATTCCACCACATCTTGATTTCTCGCTCCAGATTCTTAGAGGTCTGCCTATGTGTACATGGTGATATGCACATGAAGAAGAAATTAACAAATCCAAGAATTTCTATTCAACTGAACTTCTCTTTCCACTGAATGCTAGACTGTTTTGACCTATATTTGCACCAGCTTGTGAAAGACTGAAAAATTCATTTTTAAGGAGTCTACCTAAATAATTGGTACATATTTCTATGCCCAGTTTCCCTAACCCACATAAATTTTGGTGCAAAGTTTTCTTAGTGTGCAGAATTTTTACAAGCATTTTTCCTTAATGCCTTTCCAGGCCATGTATTTTAATACATATGTCATAGAGTCATAGAGTTGGAAGAGACCACTGAGGCCATCCAGTCCAACCCCCCACCATGCAGGAATGTTTTGTGCACATATGCAGAGTTGTGGAATAGACTGCAAAATTCTTTTTTAAAAATGTGGGTTTGGGAGCACAGGTGTATTGGCTTACAGATTTAGCAAATCCAAATTTAGTACATATATATACAAAATGTGGATCTGACATATCTCTCCGATATCTCTAAAGACAACTCTTCTTAATACCTTTTTTTGATGCTCCCCTCCCCCTCCACACACACCACCAGCCGGGCATCTAACTCAATTCTCAAGGTATGGTTTAGCATTACAGGTGAGTATATCACTGACTTCCCAGATCTGCCCAAAGGTAAAAGGTAAAGGTTCCCCTTGACATTTCTAGTCCAGTTGTGTCTGACTCTAGGGGGCGGTGCTCATCCCGTTTTCAAGCCAAAGAGCCAGTGCTTGTCCGAAGACAGTTTTGATTGCCACGTGGCCAGCGTGATGAGGGAATGCCGTTTTACCTTCCCACCGAGATGGTACCTATTTATCTAGTTGCATTTACATGCTTTCAAACTGCCAGTTTGGTGAGGAGTTGGGACAAAGTGACGGGAGCTCACTCCGTCGCGTGGATTCGGTCTTATGACTGCTGGTCTTCTGACCCTGCAGCACAGGCTTCTGCGGTTTAGCCCACAGTGCCACCACGTCCCCGATCTGCCCAAGTCCACAGTAATTTGGAAGCAGCTGTTGACAAAGGATCAGAAGATACACTTTACCTCTCTAAGGAGCTTTCCAAGACTCTCCATCAAAGTTTCCACAGTCCCCTTAAGGTCTTCCACAGTTGAATTGGAGATTATCCCTTTCTGGAATGACAAATAGGAATCCAGTTGTACATCAGTTGCAAGTAGAAGAGAAAGGTAATCAAACCATTATCTAGTCAAAAGTGCTGCCATTTAGTGAGAGCAATGGGGAAGTCCTCTTTCCTGCATTTTAAGAAGCAATCTATTGTTGCTGTAAGCAGTTATATAAAACAGACATTTGTATTAGTCACAAGACTCAAGGATGGTTAATGCTTCTGGTGCGCTGTTAACACTGAAACAATTGCTGCGAAATCTATAAAAGAAATTTAAAAGGATAAAGGTTTGTAAAATACACCAGCCAACCTCTTTTTGGGTCCTCACATTAAATGGAGAAGAAACCTATCAGAATATCTCATAGGAGGGGGATTTCCACACATTCTACCAAGTCATCTTGGCATCTGCTCCAGAGGACTGAAAAAAAAAAACCCAGGGTAGAGTTTCAAGTGCTACCAAAAGCTTGTAATTGAGGGGAGAAAGAGAGCACCCCCATTGCAAGCAGGCAGGAACCATGTAGGAAGAAAGGAAACGGCCTTCCCAAAGATCTTCTTATGGGTTTCTTCAGTCAGTCCAAGGATGCAGTAGAATCCCGCGCCGGGGCGGGGCGGCGGCAGCTATATATAACATGCTCAAACTTAGGTTTTTGGATTTTATTGAATCTTGACGTACCACAGCAAAGAGATACTAACTTGAACCCTTAGCTATGCTGTCAGGAGATTATGGTAGTTATAGTTCATTGGCTGAAATGCCGTTGCTTAATACAGTAAACCACACTAGAGTAGGCTCAGTAAATCAGTGGGAATTCCACTGATTCAAATGGGCCAACTCTAGTTGCAATTTGCCAAACTAAAGTCTCACCAAATTCCCACTGATTAAATGGGCCTACCCTAGTATGACTTACTACACAAAGCAATAGGATTTCAGCCGCTCTCTCTCAAGACCAACATATTGGGAAAGGCTGTCCTAGTATTTGACATCTGTCTGAAATTCTTTTTATCCTGCGAACATTGTGTGTCTCTTCGTGGTTCCATGTTAGAGAAGAACAATTAAGTGTACAGGACCTGTCTGCTTGGATTCAAATGACACCACATGCAGTTATCGAGTGAATTTTTGTTTTCTAGGATTCCACATATTGTATTTTTATTCCTATTTGCAAGGCTACGGGCATTTCTCTTAAGCTATGGCAACAATAAAATGTCACCTAGAAAATTCACAATCAGGGCGGGCAGAAATCAAATATTTTTTAAAATAATCAAATTGATTTCAATCACAATTTAAATAAAATCAAATACTTTTTAAAATACTGTAATCAAATTGATTTAAATCACAATTTAAATTTTAAAAATCGATATTTAATATAATCAAAAATCATTTTTTAAATTTAAAGCATTACTCAAATTAATTCCCTGTTTAGAATACACACACAAATAAAGCAGACTTTGGAAGCTGTTCCAGGCTTCCTTGAAGTATGAATCACAATCACTTAGAACACCACCCGCACAATACAGCACAATATTCTAGGTCAGAACTCCATAGAAGGATGTCCCACAAATGATCATTACTTTCCATTGCTTGTCACAACCATCTAGGAAAAAACAAACACTATGTAACTGGTTTACAAAACCTAGACAAAGGTTCTGTAATAATCATACTAATTATCTGAAAAGGGCAAATTTTCTATCTTCATCTTCATAATTTAGAGATTATACCCTCATCTTGTTCATGCATTAAAATGAGCAGTTTCGAGATGTGAGAAAGCACAGGGAAAAAGTACACTAAAGGTCACCAACTAAAAACAAACACTATGTAACTGGTTTACAAAACCTAGACAAAGGTTCTGTAATAATCATACTAATTATCTGAAAAGGGCAAATTTTCTATCTTCATCTTCATAATTTAGAGATTATACCCTCATCTTGTTCATGCATTAAAATGAGCAGTTTCGAGATGTGAGAAAGCACAGGGAAAAAGTACACTAAAGGTCACCAACTCCTCAACCACAAGATGTGAGAAAGCACAGATGAATATCATATCTATGGCTTTGGGGAAAAAGTACACTAAAGGTCACCAACTCCTCAACCACATCTGTCCTGCAGCTGCATAACAAATAGCAAAACAGGAGTGTGAATTTGGTTACTATTTAGGAAGAAGAAGCAACAAGAGGAAAGAGGAATGGAGTTAGGAGATTACTACCTACTCCAGTACATCCAGAGAATAAAGCCAAAGAGCTACTTGGGTTTAAGTGAGGGAAGCTCTACTCAAGTGCGTAATAAACACCTACACTTGTGTTTGGCAACACATAATGGATTTTAACCATACTAAATCTTTTCAGCTGCTCATTCACAGCTGAAAGGCTGTGAATGAGCAGCAATCCCACTGAAGAACAAAAAGACAACAGTGATGATTGACCATATACAGTGGTGCCTCGCTTAATGAAAAAGACAATGGTAATGATTGACCATATAATGTACAGTGGTGCCTTGCTTAATGGCGATAATCCATTCCAGGAAAATTGCCGTTAAGCAAAAACATCGTAAAGCAAAAATAAAAAGCCCATTGAAACGCATTGAAAACCTTTCAATGTATTCCAATGGGCTTAAAACTCACCGTCCATTTTCGCTGCCTCTATAGCGAGGAATCCATCCCTAAATACAGTGGGGAGCCATTGTATTTACCCGGTGGCCATTTTGAAATTGCGTATCAGCTGTTGAAAAATCATCGTTTTGCGTTGAAAAATAATAATTTTGCAAAGAATCGGTTCCCAAAGCAGGAAACCGATCATCGCAAAGCGAAATTCCCCCATTTAGACCATCGTTTTGCAATCACAATTGCGATCGCAAAAAGATTGTCATAAAGCAGTTTCATCATAATGCGGGGAATCGTAAAGCGAGGCACCACTGTAATAATAAGAGGAGGAGGAAGAACAACAATAATGGTAAGAATATCCTTTAACTACCCCTATCAGCACTTGTGCAGAACAACAATAACGGTAAGAATATCCTTTAACTACCCCTATCAGCACTTGTGCTGACGCAACAAATGGACAATTAAGAAATGACTACAAACAACTCATGATTCAAGACTCACTTCCCTTTCTCTTTGCTAGCACTGCTTGTGGAAAAGCATCCACCATCATAAGACTAGGAATACATTATAAGGAGTGTCTGATGCTGGTCTGTCTCAACGAGGCTATTTTTTCTGCTTTCATATCTTTGTTCTCCCCCACCCCCTTAGCCTGGAAAGTCCCTACTATAGGCCTGGCACATTATATTTCTTTAGGTACAACGCTTCTGTCTTACTTGTATTACTTTCTGAAATTGCAGGGGTTTGTAAACAAGTTTATTTGATTTGTTTTTCAAATTCCTCCTTTAAGGGGCTGAATCCTTGCCCTTTCCTATGTAAGTAATAAAGACCTCCACCTATCTTCAGCCATTAACTCCAGAAGGCTTCAACCAGGTAATTCACAAACACTAGGAAAGCACACACTGTTTAAGCAAATAGAGAAGAGACACTGTCCTCTGAAGATGCCGGCCACAGAGACTGGTGAAACGTTAGGAAGAACAACCTTCAGAACACAGCCAAAGAGCCTGAAAAACCCACAACAATCAGAGAAGAGATTCTCTGCTAAGGTTATCTCCGCTTGACGGTTGTATCAGCAGCAAAAAAAAAAAGTGCAGGACAAAGAGGTAGAAACACATTTCCCAAGAGCCCTCATACATCTCCAGCACTGTCAAATTGCAAATGATACAGCAGCTAAAGCTGCTCAAGAGTTCATCAAATGGATATGTAGCTGCACTCAAGAAAGTTCCCTGTTTTTTAGTACAGTGCTGTAGCAGCAGCAAAAAAAAGTGCAGGACAAAGAGGTAGAAACACATTTCCCAAGAGCCCTCATACATCTCCAGCACTGTCAAATTGCAAATGGTACAGCAGCTAAAGAGTTCATCAAATGGATATGTAGCTAAACTCAAGAAAGTTCCCTGTTTTTTAGTACAGTGGTACAAAGAGAATATATTGCTTGCAAATACAAACATCAGTCTCACAGAATTTAGTCTAAGTCTGAAATAAATAAGGAAGGTGGTGACTGGAAACAGGCATTACTACTGAAAGGACCCTGACTTTAGGAATATCTCTTGAGAGAGCTTACCTGCTATCATCTCTGTGTGATTCTGGGGGAGGGAAACCAAAGGTATACCTTTTAAAACTTCCCTAGCCTTCCAGGGTCTTTTTTTTTTTTTTAAGAGTTTTAAATGAGGTTTTAACTCACAAATTATATATGCCTTTCTGCTTCATTGTTTCTATTTCTGTTTGACTGTATTGTATTTTGGTAGTGGTACAAAGAGAATATATTGCTTGCAAATACAAACATCAGTCTCACATAATTTAGTCTAAGTCCCAAATAAATAAGGAAGGTGGTGACTGGAAACAGGCATTACTACTGAAAGGACCCTGACTTTAGGAATATCTCTTGAGAGAGCTTACCTGCTATCATCTCTGTGTGATTCTGGGGGAGGGAAACCAAAGGTATGCCTTTTAAAACGTCCCTAGCCTTCCAGGGTCTTTTTTTAAAAAAAGAGTCTTAAATGAGGTTTTAACTCACAAATTACCGGTATATATGCCTTTCTGCTTCATTGTTTGTATTTCTGTTTGACTGTATTGTATTTTGGTAATTTTAAATCAGATGCCAGCCACTCTGAGAATCGCTTAGGCTGAAAAGTGGGGAGATGCATTTGGAAGCAAGCAAATATAGGGCAACGGAGTCCCAGCAGGTAAGTGAAAAACAATGTTAAGGAAAAAAAAAACCTTTATATGTCAGACAGAACAGCAATAAGATTCTAGTCACATATCCTATGCTTTTGAATAGGAGAATAATAAAAAAACTAAAACTTAATTCCGTGTTCCCAGAGAGATGTAAAAATAAAATAAGGCTTTTGATTTGTACACAGCCAAGCATTTATGTACCAACACCCTGATTTCTGTACTGCTTTCTCCCTGTTTTAGCTTTTTAACTTAACTTAAACCAGAGGTAAGTTGCCCTTTCTTCAGGACAAGTCACCTTCTAGATGCACCATCAAATTGCCCTGAAAATGGAAATAGGGAGGCTGAAACATTCTGGGTGGCCCGCAATGATCCTTTTGCCACCCACTGCATATAAGCTCTACATGCTCTCCAGGGCAAGGGACTCCTTATAATATAGTGTCTTGCACATTGATGACAAGGGATGCCAATTTCAAGATTCTATCTATCTGAAGCACTTGTTTATCACCTCTCTACCCAACAGAGAGCTTTCCACGTGACTTATAATAGATAAAAACAAATAAAAACAGATTTAAAGCATTCATAAAAGAAATTAAAGACGTCTCAAAAAGCACATCTAGACCTTCTCTGAAACCAGTTTTTTAAAATAATCCAAAAGACCAGAGACATAGGCCGCTTGTGATCATAACAGAGAAGGGGAACATATTCACAAACACTTTCTCCTTAAGTCACTGGTACCAGGAATCATTGGTCACTTCCCACATAATCTGCTGGTGAGTTCATGTGTCACAATACTTATGCCCAAGAAAATTATCTGTCCCTTCACAGGGTGACACAAGATTATATTCCTGCCAAACATGTCAAATATGAACTGTGGATTATAGTTAGGAAACTCCCTTGAGATGTATAGTCTCCCTCTTTCCCCTCCTTCACTTTTGAATCAAATTCTTCTCCCATTCTTCAGTTAGCATTAACTATGGTTTAGAGTTACATCGCCATCTACACTAACCATTATTTCAAATTGTGGTTAAGACAGGAACCAGTGTCACCTGGCTGAAAGCAATGTTCGTTTTAAATTAACTTTTGGTATACGCTACCAAGGGTATGTGGTAGTGTGTATCACTGAGTGCTACATTATGTACTATGTAATGCTCTGCTGTTTTGAAAACTAGGACTGTACTATAGTGAGTGCAAATAAAAATGCGAGAGACAACATTACTTACCATAATTGGTTTCAAGATGTCTATATTAGACTGAAACACTTTCTCTGCAGAAGCCAGTTTTTCCTTAGGCAAGGTGCAAACCAAGGCACTGCTGACCACATCAACCAAAGGATTTTTAATAATAACAAGCTCTGACAGCCTGGTCGAATTGCAAAGGTCCTTCACACTCATTCGGTAGCCAGACTTGATGATCTAAAAACATTTATCAGAGATTACCAAATGCTGTCAGTAAATCACTCCTGAGATTTGAAGTTTTTCCCACTTCACATTCATACTTCTTAACATGAAGAGTCTGAACTTTAAACAGGTTTTTCCCCCAAAAACCTTGGGACCTCAGATGCTATCAGCCTATAACATCTATTATCCCTGATGGGAAAACATATCTTGGAGGGAATCTCCATTGCTCACTATACCAAAACCAACAATATACACAAGTATAGATGTTTGTCCATTCTTACCTGTTGGAGGTTGACCTCAGCATCCAAGATTTTATCTATGACAAAGTATGGCAAGGAAATATTGTGATAGAGGAAGTCAGAGAACGTCTCATTGTCAACTAGGAAATCCCGGATTTTCACACCTGCCAGATGAAACATTTTAAAATAATTATTCTCTATTTATTATTATCATTCTTGCTCTTATTATAGCTTTTAATGGTGACAATTCAGCATAGCTGAGTTACAGTATTAAACTATTTCTACAGCCAGGGTACATACTGTCCCCAGAGATCTCTGAAAGTCATAGTTCTGTGGTAAGAGATTGTCAGAATTCTTACTAAACTGTGACTATCATGGATGTGTTGGTAGAGACAGGACTAATAAAATTATGAAACACAATATATAAATTTTGTAGTGAGGAGGAACCCGAAAGAATTCCCATCTTGCCACTCAGGCAAATGAGCAGAAAATGCTTCTCCACGTGCATGGCTGTTGAGGGAGAGGTGAAACATCCTTCCAACTAAGTGGATGCTGTTCTAACTTCACACAAAGGTTCAGCCCTAAAACACAACCTTCTGAAATGCTGAAAGAGTTTGCTACAGTACCTGAATTGCAGAGAGAATAAGAGGGCCCTTGCACACCCACATTTTGAAGTGGGCTTTCTCAGCCACTGCTTATGAAGCATGCTTCATTCCTACTCCACTCTCTGTTCATGGGACTCTTATGGGTCCCCCTGCCAAGATTTCTCCACTATGTGGAAACTGGGGTTTATCTCTGAATTGGTTGAATTTGAGCTGTCTCTCCTGTCAGTATATGTTCACTTCCTAAATCATGGGGATAAAAGTAGGGAAGAATTATAGAGGGGCAGCTAGGTCCCTTTAAATTTTCTGACATTTCTGTTTGTTGTTATGTGCTATCAAGTAATTTCTGATGTATGGTAACTATAGGAATTAATGACCTCCAGGAAGTCCTGTCATGAACCACTCCTGCAAATTAAAGGCTGTGGCTTCTTTTTTACAGAGTCATTCCATCTCATGCTAAGTCTTCATCTTTTCCAGTTATCTTTGTCTTTTCCTAGCATCTTTGTTTTGCACAGTAAATCTTGTCTTCTCTGTATATGTCCAAAGCACAGTAACTTCAGTTTAGTCCCTTTAGCTACTCTTTGTAGACTGCAACGGAGAGCAATATCAGGGCTTATGCTGGTAGATCTTTGAACCGTTCCTCTGTCTCCCTCACCCCACTATAACTGAAGTACTGGCTGGAAGCAGTAACCAAGCTATCTTTCCAGGAAGCTCATCCACCATTACACTCCACCATTACGTACTGTATTATTGTACTGAGTAACCTGTAGTGAGCATCCAAGCTACAAATCTCATGATTTATAGAATATACAGTCGAAATCACTGAACTGCATTTATATACTCTATGCCTAATTATGTAAAGGCACATCTCCCCCCCCTTCTTCAAACATCCAGCCAGAGGAAATATGATTGACTCCAAATTCTGCACATTAAAAAGCATGTAGTAAATATTCTTAATGTTGAGGGGTGTGGTTTTAGATGCAGGACCTCCATAGCTGCTAAAAGTTCATCTCCCCATAGCTAAAAGCACAGCTTCTGAAGCAATGAATGCAACACAGCCTCTGTTAATTACTTACTCACACTCTCTCATACTGCCAGATCCCGAGAGAGGGCAGCAGATGCTGGACTGCAAGAGGCTGTCTGAGATTTTTTTTTTGTAAAATGTTAATTAACTTGACTGCTTACAAGAAACACTGAGAGTGCCAAGGGGGCTGGAATGAGAACACCATAAATCTCCACAGAGCTGAAAGAGAAGGCAAATGGAGAGAGAAGCAGAGGTACTGCCACCACCGCCTCTTCCCCTTTATGCCATTCGGCATTACTATTGTGTTACTCAGACCTGACTTGGCAGGAGAAGAGTCTGGTTGAAAGAGTAATGAAGAAAGAAGAAAGAAACACTTCCCATTTTTCGTCTAAACACGAAGGCGGTGGGGTTACTATCGGCCAATGCTCTCCAGCCCAGTTCTCCTGTTACAGGTTCCCTGTACGTTTTTTTTGTTCTACAAGCAAAATCATCCCTTGTCACTGGAGGGCTTGAGGGAAAAGCTGGGTGAGAGCTGACAGGAGGTTATTCTAGGGTGAAGTCTTTTCAGAATTGTTTAACAGCCTACTTGGGTTGATTTGGCCGCAGAAGCAAGGGGCACAGAAAAAAAAATGCAAGTTATTATTTGATGCCCAGGCGGCAGAAACTTTCCAGACACTTCACTGAAACCCTCAAGCCATTCCCCTGAGCTTGAGGACAGAGCTTCGCTTGCCACACAGCCCTCTCCTGGATCCCTAAACTAACCACTAGCCTTTGGACAATATACTCTTTCATCACCAGTGCGAAAGTAAAATTCAAGTTAAATTGAACTGCCAGTACAGTATATGGAGGGGGGGGGCTGTCTACCATCTTGTAATTGC